TTTTTTTTTTATTGCCTTGCCTTGGTATACGCCCATTTTTTTTTTTTTTTTTTTGTTTGCAAAGATAATAAGTGATGCGAACCTTTTTAAGTTGCTTCCACCCCTGCGTGTACACTCCTTTTACACTCCTTACGTGGATTTAAGAAGCAGGAGGGGGAAAAGAAAAGTAAGACATACACCCTCGTTACTCCTGCGTGTGCTTGTGCACCACGCCTGTACCATATGTTTATAGGCACAGGTTCCCACTTTCTCCCTTTCAATGTTGTGTAAAGTTCCCTAAGCATGTATGTGCAGATACTCATATGTGCACGTGTTGTAATACCCTCTGTACAGAGTAGCAATTTTTGTAGTGGAACAAATTCACTCATAAAGACTGTTGCGTCTTTTATATGCCTCCTAAGGCGTGTATTATACGTCTGTTATGTGTCTGTACACAACGGATACGCACAGATGAAATTTCGCGCCTCAATCACCCTGTAGTGTCAACACGGAGTGGTCTGCATAGTGCGCATAGTGTAAATATAGTGAAGCGTATCGTACGCGAAATTTTTTTTTTTTTTCCCATAGGTGTGTTTTTTTTTTTATTTTTTTTTTTTTTGAGTTCGTGCAATATATAGTAATAAAGCTGGACGCGCGCCCGATGAACGCGTCATTCCGCTTGGTCCTAGCTCACCTGGAGTGATTTTCCATACATATATATATGTTGAGAAGCATGGGTGAGGCATACACGCTCCTCTCCCCATGCCGACGTAAGTTACGTGCTGCACCGTTGAAGTGATAGAAGCGGCACTCTCTAAAAGACATGCGTGACTCCCCTTCCTTTCATCACTAAGGATGATGAAAAAATATTTTCATCAGATCAGGCAATGAGTGCATTTCTCGTGTTAGTAAAGACTACTGCATAGGGCCTTGACTGTACACGTTTGTGCGCAGTTTAAATAATTCACCTGCTATCGTGCATATATAAATGATGCGTTATAGTTGCATGTGCTTATCTCCCCAAGTATCCCCTTGGTGCCCGCAAGGCTGCACAATCCGGGGGGTGCACATATAAGCATAGTTCATTTAGCTGTTCCATATGTACGAATTAGTCATCCCATGTGTGTACATGCTCATGGACAAAGTCCAACTGGTTCATAGTTCCCCCCCCTTTTCTTTTTTTTTTTTTTTTTTGTGATAATACGCATATTGTGAAAAAAAAAAGAGAGAGACATAGCTAGGAGTCAGATTTCTTCTAACGTGTTGACTCGATGGTCGAAATGGTCTTAAAGTTATATGAAGTTATGTAACCCTTTTTTCCATTCCTCTTTTTTTTTTTTTGTGCATTCACTTGAATTGTGAAATTATTATCTTTTTGCTCGCTATGCATTGTTGGTATCCCTGTGTTGAGAGATTTTATTTTTACAATTTTCACAATTTTTAGATTTGTTAGATTTTTTATTTTATTTTTTTTTCTTTTTTTCTGCTTTTTTTTCTCCTACGCTGCCCCTTAACCCTTTAGTAGCATACCATTTAGTGCATGTGTTTTAGTAATTACTGAATTTTTTTTCTGCACCTTTTGTACGCTCCTCGTAATTTTTTCCCACCATCCTTTTTTTTTGAGGGGCGTTATATGTACATTATGTGAATCCTCGCCTGGGAAGAATCCACTCGAGATTTTTAGCCCTCGTCCTTTCCCTTCTTCCCCTCACGGCTGGTGGCCACGGGGAGGTTACACCATTATCGTTTGTTTGCATAAATTTTTATGTATGATGATTTTTAGAACAGATTTTTTCTCATAGAGGAGCATCTATCTCTGCGGAAGCGAGATATAACGCATAGACATAGGTGTATATTCGCCGTGGGGTCCATCACCCGACCTGCACCCCCTTTGTAGTATAGAAGGAGCTCCACCAACAGCGCCAGCATCGCTACCATTATGTGTGTACGTATGTATTCGGGTGCATCGAGGTAGGTATAATTTTCCCCCTGTTTTTCCCCTTTTTTTTGCTCTTTTTTTACCCGTCTGTTCATCCCAATAGGGTCTATACGGTGCCATTAATTAATTTTTCTCCATATGCCGCCAACTCCCTCGTGCGAGGTGTTGTGCGCGGTGAATACATAGAGATTGATGATGTAGTTAAGCTTATCTTCTATGTAGCCAGGCGGGTAAAGCAAAAGAGGAAGTTTCCTTGATTACCCGATTTTTGCCTGAGTACATAACTAGGTGCGTACATATTTGTGTAACCGTGCATACCCTGTTTTTATTCTCCATTTTGCCTTTTCCCATTCGTGTTCATAGTACCCTGTGACGAGTGGCCCATAGAAGTTTATTTCTCGCGTAGTGGAGCTTCTGTAGACAGAGACCGAGCCCCTTTGGATGGACCTTTTTTTTTTTTTTTTGTCTCTTTTGCACAACTTTTTTTTCCCCAAGCATCATCGCTGCACATTTGTGGGCGCCCTGCGGAGACGTTTCGTCCGACCGTCTGATCAGGCTGGCCCTTTACCCTATTTCCGTTGCCTCGTGCTGCATATTTCGTGAAGCCACATTGTGGAGCTACATTGTGACGTCCCTTTGAGAGGCCCCCTTTTTGAAGCAAATTTGTGCGTAAATTTTTCCCAAACGAGGGAGCACATCTTATTTCCCTGTGCCCGCACCCCGACGAAACAATGGAGACAGAGGAGAGCGACACCCTAGCGGAGCGGGGGCGTGACGTGCCTGCGAACGGGAGTGGAAGAGAAGGCGAGGAAGGGACACAGGGAAGCCAGATTGGTGCTATCAACGAGGCTTTCCACATCGACTGCATCCATCCCATCCACCCCGTCGATGACGTAAGCGTTGTAACCAGTCCAGGGAAGACTCTCGCCGGGGAGGATAAGATCGGTGCAATTAATGGCACCTCCCACACGGGGGGAATAAAAATTGGAATCAACAAGAAGGACTACGATCTGTACATTAGCCAGCTAAAGGATAAAGGCGCGAAGGATGTACCAAAAAATAACGGGGGACGAATGAGAAGGAGCAGCAGTGGAGGCAGAAACAACGAATGTGACTCGGACTATTATGATATGAAACACTTGGACGGAAACAGCATCCACTTTTTCGATGATGGAGACGCAAGTAACAAAAGAAAAATAAACACCATTATAAGTAGGATGGACAGTGAGCTCACAAACACGGAGGATGCGCTGAGCAAAATTAATGACAACAGTACCACCTACATGAGCAATGAAAACAACATATGTCTCCTGAACAATGAAGCAGACATTACTGACCCGAGCAATTTCAACCCTAATTTCGAGTTCCATCAGATGATGAGCCCGACTGATAAGACGACCGATGTAGAGAATTGCCATCACGTTAATTTTTTTAAAAATCGAGAGACAAACGAAGTAGGGTTCAAGAATGGGGGGTACAAGGCCGGCGAGCAAAGCGCCTTCTTCCACGAGGGGGGGACCGATAATGGTAGCCATAATATACCTGAACGTGACAGCCAGAATGTACCTGAGCATAGACGCGACAACTTGGTGAAGGAAGTTCTCATCTCCGAAGTGAACAATCCAATGCCGCTAAACATCGCGCAACCCTTTGGGGGAAAGGAACAGAAAAGCGAAGAGAACAAATTATCCACCCGAGTTAACCCCAGTTTTTGTGATCAAACTCAGCTGAGCAAAGTACAAGACGTAGTGCACAGCGCATATGCCTTTTTGCACAATGAAGAAATAACTACTAGGCTCAGTACCTTTTGCAATAAAATTCAAAATGATGGAGAAGCGACCTCTGGAGGAGGCGGTCCACCCTACCAATTTGAGAGCCAAGTAACGATCGAATCGGAAGTGAATCATCTGAACAAGACAGCTTTGTTGGCCAATGCCCAATTGTATGAACAGAAAGGTGCACATCCGAGTGACCTTTTAGGGGGGCGAACTACACAAAGTGAGGATAACCCCCGAGGGGATAATTTTTACATCGAACGGGCAAGCGAACAGGAAGAGGAAAACGGAGAAGGGTCCGAACTTTCAAGTCATCTTAGGGGAGAAACCACAAGAAAGAAGAAAAAGAACGACGAAGAAGAACTACGTAATGATTCTAACGATAAAAAAATTTTGTTCCGAGAGAGGGAGCAAAATAATGTGGACGTGAGTAGCGATTATCACCATCTGTATGACGAGACCCACAAGGACATCACTGAAGGGTGTCTGCGCGTGAGCGATGGGGAGAGGAAGGATCTGTCCAGCGGGTGCAGCATTCGTAGGACGAGCAGCAGCAGCAGTAGCAGCAACGAAAGGGGAAGCGGCAACCACAGCAGCAACCACAGCAACAACGTGCCTTGCTCCATTGGAGAGACACTCCCGTCGAACGTGCCCCTCAACAGCGGTGGAGAGAAAGACGCGGAAAAGTATGGCGGCCAGGAGCGAACCCCACCACAGGAGGTGGAGCAAACAGATGATATGTACGAGGAAACGCTTGTAGAGGTGAAAAAGATGGGCAGACGGGTAGGAAGGAAGAGTAAAAATGGTGCCAATAAGTCTGGACAATCGAACGGTGATGCGAAGGGGAGAGGACGAATCGGTTTTAGGCCCTCTCATGATTGTGACGTCGATGCGACAGCAGACTGTGCGGCGGAGGCAGACGACATGGATGACCCCACCCGTGATGATTCGAAACATAACGGAGAAGAGGAAGAATCAAATGGTAACGATCGAGGAAGGGCAAAGCATGGAAGTACCAATGAGACGTACGCGAGGAGACCCCTCAGAAATGCTGCCAAGAAATGCATTCACTTGTGGTCGGAGGAGTTAAAGAAGAAGAGCGAGAAGCATAATGCCGCACTGGAGAGGAGCAAAAATATGGGCGACCAAAGAAAGGAAGAGCGCACCCTTCGAAGAAAAGACAAGGTAATAAAAAATGGATCTAAGGTAATCACCAGGGGAGGATTGGCAAGAGGATTCGGTGGCCGAGGTTGGGCCAGAGGCGAAGCCAAACGAGAGACGAAGTTTTCCCAGGACGATGCAAATGCAAGTGATCCTGCGGAGGAACAAGAGTCAGAACAAGCTCAGTATGACCAGGAGGAAGAGGCAGAAGAGGAGGGAGGTGACGGAGCGAACGGCAAAGCGTACTGTGAAGAAGAACAGGAAGGTACTCACCGACGGGCAAGGGGACGACCAGCCCAACGAACAGGGAACCACACCGATCCGAAGGTACGTGAAAGGAACCAAAGAAATGAAGCTTACGAGAGTGGTGAAATGAAGTCCGAGCAACTAACCAATGATACAAACGAAAGAGCAACAAAAGGAGGAAGGCAAAAAAACCAAGTGGCGTCGTTAGGACAGGAACAGGAAAACATCCCCATCCTTTTTAATGACTCAATGGATGAAAGAGAGATGTTTAAATATCTCGACCTGTTGCGACATCTTCCGAGTAAGAAGGGAGGTGCACAGTACAAGTTACACAAAGCTATATTAACAGAAGAGATGGTTCGGAGGGCAAAAAAGTTCCCACTCGTCCAGGGGGTATACTTTGATAGGTACCAGCAAAGATGGAGTGTAAACTGGAATGAGGATGGAAAGAGAGTGGCAAAGTATTTTCCCATTAAATTATTTGGGTTCGACTATGCGAGGAGATTAGCCATTTATTGTAAGAACTATCAGAAGATCCCTGAGGAGGCACTGTTATTTGAGCAGGCGTACCGGGCAAGCCAGCAGAGCAACAAACAGAGAAATGATCATTCGGAGATCGTCAGTGGGGGGGGTGCTGCAGGGGGGGTCACCGAGATTGGCAGTGGAAACGCGAGCAGAAATGCCACTCCGAATGGCAGCATCAATGGAGCAAAGCTCAGACGAGGAGGACCCAAGAAAGTGTACAAAAAGAGGGGCCTCCGAAAACAGGACAATTCGAATGAAGACAAGTTTAGCAGGGGCTATGGGAAGAGGAGAAAAAATATTAACTATCAAAGTGGGGGGGATGTGGACATCACAATGAATGAAGGTGTGGGGGAGAACGAAAGTGGCAACCACGGCCCAGGACAGAGCCCATTCGCGAGTAATTATCCCCTGTGTAGCAATTACTCTGGCAGTGCCGTTAGCGGTGTCAGCAGCGGTGCGAATAGCGATCCGATTAGCAGCGAGAGGAGGGATTCCAGTTACAGAAGCGACGGCGGTGCGAAGGAGATAGAGCGCAGCGCCCTTCCCAAGGTGGCTCCCTACTTTCCCAGTGGCAGTCTGCCCGGTTCGCAAGGCCTCGGGGTGAAGAACACCGGGGGGGAGAACCATCCGTACAACCAACACAATGAGAATTATCAGAATTATCAGCACAACCTGCACAGCATCTGGGAAGGCCTTGGAAGGCTTATCGCACCCTCCGCCGCGAACGATGATGGTGTGAACAAACAGTGCGTGCAGGGGTACCTTTTCGAGGGCGACTTCCCAGGTGGCGGCAGCGCCAAACACGGCCATCTAGCTAGCAGCCATCCGAATAGCTCCAACCCCAGTAGTGGTCTTCTTAACAGTGTCCTCCCCAATGGCGCCCCTTTTGGTAGTACCCTGAACAAACCAGGTGAAGGGTCGAATAGTGCAAACCCCAGCACGGGCCATATGAAGGAAGAACAGAAGAACATCACAGGTATGGATACGAGTGCTGATCGAACCGACGCGGAGAACATGATGCTCATGAAACAGAGGATGATAATGCTTGAGCAGGGAAGAGCAGCGAATGGGAAGATCTACATGCCTTTCGGAAGTGCCACCATGGGGTTACCCATCACACACTCCAGCAACGAAATGAGACGCTTCGGAAGCGGAGAATCCCATTTTGATGAGGAGAAGAAGAGCAGTTGTATGCATAACGTGGTTGATCCCGTAGCGGGTGTAAACAGTGGCAATCTGTTACCCATGTCGACCCATTTGAATCACCGCAGTGGTGTAATCCATGCGGTTGAAAATAGCAGGGAATTAAGCAGCAATACCTTGCCTCACATGATGATCGGGGAGAACTCCACTGTAGAGAGTGAAGAGAAAAAAAGGGGAAGAAAAAAAGGGGAAGAAAAAAAGAACCATCTTGTATGCACCTCCACAGGGACGTCTTCCTTTAAATCATCCGCCTCGCACATTTCGTCCACCTCCTCGTGCTGTAAAAACATGGAAATGTATTTGTCTTCCAATGGGCCCTTGCATGACATGGGGGACTCGCACAAATGGAGAAAAGGAGACGCCACGGAAGACGCAGCGGATGCAGCAGACGTAGTAGACTCAGCAAACGAAGGAGACCTAGCAGACGCCGCACATCCTTCCAGTTATAATGATGAGACTGGTAATTACTATACGACAAAGGAGGAGGAAAAAAAGAAAGACGCGCCAACCACTCAGGGGGTTCACGAAGATAAGCTCAGCAGGGCAGACTTGATGACACAGAGGGATGATGGCAATAGTGACAGGTGTTACCTGCAGGGGGGAAGAGGACCATTGGAGGGGAAAGAAGAAAATGACGATGTGGAAGACGAAGATAACGACGGCGAAAACGACGCCGAAGCAGATGAAGGAGAAGTTAACCCCGATGAGTGCGTCCCAAGGGGGGGAGGCATAGCCACGAATGTGGACCCCTCGATGGAAAGACACATAATTGGACATGCAGTTAGAAATATAATACCAAAGGAGGAGAACATCCACAAGGGCGCAATAACCCATTTGAACTCTGGCGATGGTGTGTCTCAGGTGGCAGGAGACGATACAGCAGGAGACATATGCCCCCACAGTGTAATCAGCAGCACAGTAGAACGGGGCCAGAACGCAACACAGATCGAGAATGACGGAAACAAACTGGAAGATATACTTAACATAAACAAATACAGTGAGATAGTGAACAGACTGGATAATTACACGCTCATGAGTAAAATGAGTCAGGGGGGTGTGAAAGTGGAGGGAGGATTGATTCCCTTGGGGGGGCTAAATTTCAAGAGGGAGAATACGGACGGCGCGAGTAAGGATAGCATCAGGGAGGAGGTTAACCATGGGGAAGAAGTTCCCACCGGGGGGGTCTCCCTGGGTGCTGATATTATCCACCGGGGAGGAGTCCCCAATGAGGATGTCCTCCTCAATGAGGAAGTCGTCCCAAATGAGGACGGCATCAACGGGGGAGATCTGACCCAGGAGAACAACGAAGACGACATAAACTCCAGAATAGTAGGAGTCCATTACGATAGAAAGCAGTACAGGTGGAAGGCCACATGGTACACGTCCCACGGAAGGAGATGCGCAAAGTATTACCCCATAAAACAGTACGGATATTTGGAAGCGAAAAAAATGGCCATAGAATGTAGGAGGGCATACAACGCTTATAAGAAATTAAAGAAGGATCCAGAAAATGGCATCGAAGAAGGAGAGTTCAACTTTGATAGTATCATTTTTCCTAAAGAGTACTATGTAACTTTATTCGAGAATGACGAAAAGAAGGATGGCTACTTCTGGAACCCGAAAAAGAACAAGAAGACGGGGAAGAACCCATTTTTAGACAACAATGAGAAGCAGAGAAGACACTATAATGAGGCGTTGAAAAAAATTACCAACATCAAGTGTAAGGACCTCTCACAATTGAATGAATTTATGGTGAGGAAGAATGACGGCGAAGCGTCTACTTATCCATTCATGGGGGTGGCGGTGGACCCTTCCGAGAGCTCCAATGTCTTCGCGCCGCCGAAGCATCAGCAGGAGGAGGAAGAGGACTACTCCGGTGCGCACTTCGAGACGGCGGGAATGATGGGGGCGTACCAAGGTGGAATCCACCCAAGTGGATCCTATCAGGGGGGAGTGTTTCAAAGTGGATCATATCAGAGTGGATCGTTCCAGGGGTCAGCAGCACTCCCCCTTGCAATGACAGCCCCAAGTGAAGATTCCACGGTCGCCATGCCTGTGACAAATGTTGACGGTTCCAATCATCCCAACCTGGAGAATGAACAAAACAAGGAATGGAGCACCCTACAGGGGGTATACAATCAGGGGGGAATCTTCCAGGACAGTTGCTGCAATGTGATGAGTGGGGAAGGACAACACGTGACATCAAACGGATGTTCAGCGCACGTGCAGGGGAATGCTTGTCCGGTACACGTACCTGAAAATGGATGCTCCTCACAAAACGTGTCATCCCTTCTTTCGTTGTATTACCTCTCCGAAAACATCCTCAAATTCCAGAAGGGGACCATCAAATGTATTCTACAAGACCTGAGAGACAACTGCCTATCCAATCTGGCCTATGACATTAAAAACATAACCTTCCAGGAGTACTACATGGCTATTCACTACCTTAACAGGTATGTAGAAAACTCCAACTGCTATGATGACATTTTTTTTCTGTTAAAAATTTTAGCCAAGAATCTGGAAATTCGAAAGATACCTAGCTTGTACAATGAGGAGGAGCAGAAGGAGTTGCTAAACTCGTTGACCGTTATTACGAAGCAGATGAAGAACGGCTATTCTTACTTCACCCCGGACACGGTGAAGAGTGCTAGTGAGGGGGGAGAGGCGCCGTGCGACCGGTTTTCCTCCGTCATATTTCATTAGCGATGGTGTAGCGTTTGTGTAGTGGTCGGTTGCGTCCTCTTAGCGGATCTGTACATTTCAGAAGCGACCCATTATCGAATCTACATTCCGCACCATTAGCGGTGGTTCTTCTTCTGCGCGCCGATTTCCACTGTGTGATCTTAATTTTTTATTTGTTTTTCGTAACGCCTTTATGTTTTTTTTTTTTCTTCTTCTTCCTTTTCTTTTTCTTCTTTTTGCCCCGTGCGGGGCACGTATGTTTGCGTGTTGACATGTAATCATAGGTAAATAAACTCGCGCGTATGTTTGTGTGTGCCTATACAGTTGGGCTTGGGGGAAGAGCACGGTCGCCCCTCAACCTGTGTTCCAACGTCTTCAACCCAATTCGAATCTTTCCCAATTTCACCTTTCTGGAAAGGTTTTTCGGAAAAAATGAACAGACATGGATAAGAAGTGATCGTTCACAGGTGGCATGGGTTTCTCGTGTAGAGAATCCATTTTGGATCAGTTCCCTCCCTGGATGAGTGACTCATCGGGTACGTGGCTCGACACCTTTGTCCTCTGCTTCCGTGAATGTGTGTACAGAGCAATCGGTGGGAACAACCCTATGTGCCTCTCCAACGTGGGATGACGCCAGGTCTTCCATTGGACACGTGCTGGGATTGATTGGCCTCTTCAAATGGGGAAGCAAATAAGGAAGTCTTGGAGCGACGCGTTGGCACAATTTCGCAGGAACGGTTAAAAAGCGCAGAAGCGGACAAACTGTAAGGGCATCCACCCATCACAGGTGCAAGGGGGAGAAAAACGCTTCTAGACGTTTGATTCTCCCTAATGGGTTTTTTTTCCCAACTTAAGAAACGAAAATGCAAAATATGGCTACGTTGACAAACTGAGTTGAGTTCAACACATGGGGGTCGGAAAAAAAAAAGGGGTGAGAGAAAAAAAAAATTAAATGGGGATTAAAAATGAAGGTGTACACTGTGGGGTCATTCTCTTTAAAAAGGTGAAGCGACATGCGGGATGGGTTAAATAGAAAAAGCGGTACGGTACGGTTCGGCGGCGCCAATACCCGCCTACATAAGACATACGTAACTGGAGAGCCGCCAACAGGAACGGGAAAGAAAAAGTAGAGGGGGTTCTTCTTTTTTTCTTCTTGTTACGTGTAAACAATTAATTTAAAGTAGGGTTAATGCGTGGGGTGAAAAAGTGACGCGGCAAATGGTTGGACATGATTCACGGTGGATTTCGGGAAGTAGAGTCGAATTCTCCCAGGGGAGCACTTACAGGGTGGCACTGAATTGGACAGGGAGCCTCTGCGTGGAGAATGCAGGCAGGTTTTAATTAAAAGGAGGAGCGGCAAAGGCAGGGGGGGAACACAGCGGAAGGAAACGCTAGGGAAAGAAGTCCCACATTAACGGGGCGTGTCAGCAGTGTGAGTAGCAGGGGATGAACCCCCTCTCGTTCATCATTCGGGCTTCCTCTCGTGCGGAGGTTCAAAAATTTAAAAAGGGTCTTCACATTTGGGGGGGTGACGGCGCTATGTTTTACTGCACTAAGGCGGCTGTCTTAGTACCTCTGCTCGCAAATGGGATGACTGACTCCACTTGTCCTCGTTACCGCCTCGTCACTTTGCCGCATCACGGCCTCCCCCGCTAATTGTAGTAGCTCGCGTTGGCCATGCGAATGGCCTCCTCCTCCGCCAAATTCCTCTGGTCCGCCACGCCCGCGAAGGTCTCGTTCTTGTGAGTATGCAGCTGGTAAAACAGGAGGTACGCGTTCTTCGTGTTGACCTGCGACTCGTCAATGGTGGTAACGAAGGTATCATTGAAATTGTACCACTTCCCGTTGAGCTTCACATACGCGAAGTAGTGTCCCCCACAGAGGCCACCCGTATGACAGTTAACTCCGATGAGTTCATACAAAGGGGAATAATGAGGGTCCATCCTTATCATGTGTTTTAAGCCATCCTCCAGAATGTAAGGGGTCATATTTAGGTATTCATTCTCCTTATGGGGGTAGTAAACATACGAATCGATCTTTGTCCTTAGCCACCTATTTGTATTGTTAAATCTTTTTAAATGTAGAATGAGGATGATTGGCATTCGGAATAGGTCTAGCTTCTTATAAGCCTGTACATGCAGCTTGCAATTGCCACAGTACCAGGTATTGTTCTCATCCAGGTGCTCCTCTTCCGAAAATAATTTCAAACAAGTGTCAATCCCATAGCGTTCTTCCAAATCGACAAAAGTGATCGTCTTTATATCCAGGGACAACTCATGATCTATGCCAACGCTGTTAAGGTGTATAATTATGAGTCGCTTTTCCTCCGAATTTTTTATATAATCTGAGAGGTACGTTTCGTCTCTTTTGAGTTCCAGCCCCAGGTTGTCCTTTGGCGTCCACTCCTCCTTCAGGTTATAGCACGGCAGGTACAGAGTAAACCTACTGGCACAGTCGTCGCCTCCCTCAACCAAGGCAGCGGCTCCCTTTTGCTCCAACCCCTGGTTGTACTCACTTGTCATGGCCTTATTCGCCACATCGCTACTCGATATGCTATCCTTCTTGGCACTTTCCTCGTCACCTCCGCTTCTTCCATTCCCGTTATGTGTGCAGAGTTCTTCATACCGATCGGTGTACTGATTGGAAGTGGGGGTAGTTCCGCTGGGTGCTGTTCTACCCCCCGCGGGCTTCTTCGGGTAGGCATTTTCCACCTTCGCGTATAGATCATTGAGCGTAAAATTGAAAGGGACATTAAAGAGGAGGGGCAAATCATTATTTTTCATTTTGTAGAAAAGCTGCTCATCTGGGCACAGAGGTACTATCAGGAGGGAGAAGTACTTGTCGTGGAGGTTATGTAAATCTTGTGTTAACAAAATTCGATCTCGAAAAAGTTCACTGTAAGAAATGTGTTGCTCACAGTTTGTCTTGCCTTTGCTCATGCCATTGGAATTGGAATCATTTTGGGGTGTCTGTGAGGAGGCCTCCTGCATGTTAATATCGTTTGACTCTTCCATTACTTCGTCGTATGGCTCTCTTCCGTTTATGCTAGCATTTCCGCCAACGTTTCCATTCCATCCCCCTGGAGATGATGTCACAGGGGTGACCTCGTCGTCTTCGTCCTCCTCGGCCCCGGATGGGTTCATTTTGTCTCCCTTCCTAATAGGGATCCCATTACTGTTGGATGGGCCGAGCACCCCCTTTCTCTTTTTAAGAATCTTGCTCGTGTGGCTGTTCTTCCCCTTGAGCGATTTCTTCTCCGCGCCGTTGTTATTGTTACTGCTGCTATCGTTACTGCAGTTGTTGTTGCCTGCTTCGCTCTTCACGTTCATTTCTTCATCCTTGAGACTGGTGTTGTTCGTGGTGACCGTGGAGTTGGTAAGGACCTCCAGATGTTCATCTCCCACCTTGACATCCATATTTTTATCAATCAGATGGGAACATGACTTCGGCAGGATGAAGACAAAAATGTGGCTGATCCCTTTTCCATTTCTCGTATGCGATTCGGTGACAAAATCGGAGTTATTTAGGACTTGAAAAAATTGATTACAAGCGAGATTTTTAAATTTCGTAAAAAGGAAGCTCAAATTGTTAATCTCTAGCTCGTCAATCGATTGTATGTTGCACATGGCACAGATGCTCTCATGGACGGTGGAGATTTCTTGTTCCTTCAGCGTGTTTGTTATCTTACTTTTGTTTTTTATAGCCTTGAGGTAATTGGCAATATCCGCATTGGTGCAATTGTCCTCATTATCTTCGTAGAATTCATTTTTGTCATCCATATATTTATAATGGAAGTTGAAGGCACTATTGCTGGTACTGTTTGTCCCCCCACCACCACAGCTGCTACCACTGCTACTGCACGTAGTTGCATTGGCATGGTTATTTCTTCCCTCATGGGAAGACTCTTTGCTATTCTTAATTATACACTTATTATGAAGAAGAATGTTTTTTCTTTTTCCTTTTAAATTTTTTATTATGGTGAGAAGGAAAATCTTCAATTTTAGGACCTCTTGTGAGCCACTAAAAGAGCAGGAGAATCTCATACCTATGGGAGCGTCCCTATTTAACATAACGTGGAACCAGATGCGGTGATTCTTCTTCGGCGGTAACGGGATCGATAAGTACATAAACGGATCAAATGCTATGCTAACTTTTTTACACTTGGGACATTGTAGACGAGATCGGTACTGTCCCTGGAAGAGGTCAACAATAATGGAGTTATTAATCTCTTTGTGCCTATTCCAAGATGCTTCCGCAACATCAATGTCCAGTTTATCTAATCCTCCTTGTAGCTTCTCTTCGTAGTAGGGCTTCTTCTGTATTAAGTTCAAATCTTCATGCAAGCCATCAAGAAGGAAGGCTAATAACTCCTGTGAATCGTGTTGTTGGTACCCGTAGAATTCATCTCTCTTTTCACTTATGGCTTGTTTTAATGCCTTGGGTGCATACGGCTCGCTTCTCTTATTTATCTTCCAAAGCTCAAGCAACGTTTCGTAGTACGCTTTGGCTAGACGTCCATTCTGCCCCACAGGGTTGGAGTAGTTTATGTGATTCCAGAAGGTTCCACTTAGGAAGTAATTGGAAAATTTTTTTATTTTGGCTAGGCACTGCAGGGAGGAATTCAAGAAGCAGGTATTACCGAGGTTGATTAGACCTCGGTCCCCCCCGTGCTCGAATATGTAGCTTATTTGCTTCATCATGCCCTGTTGGGGGTATCCCTGTGTGGAACCCTGTGTGTTTCCCTGCGCGTGGGTAGAACCGTACCCGCCTGTCCCTCCGCTGGAGTAGCCCCTCATACAATCCTCCTCCTTCTCGGACCTCCTAAAACTGGACTCCTGCCTCGTGTATCCATAGTCGCTCTCATTCGTCAGGCACTTTATGTCTGCTCGCTCATTTGTTATTAACAAACAGGTCCCCTCATCAATGTCATATTCGTGCATCTTCTTCTTCAGGGGGTACTCCGTCGAATCGTGCAGGAATAAACACTCCCAGTTGTATTCCCTCTTGCCGCTCCTCTCTTCTGCGTAGAAGAGATTTTTCTTGAAACTCGCGGGAGCGAAGTCGGTGACGATCTGCGTGGGGGGAATAAGCGCGAGTGTAGAGAGAATCAGCTGTATGGAGAAGAAGCTGTGTCGCGAAGTGGGTACAAACGGGGGTACTCTTCCCGTTGGGCACCCTTTTGGTTGGCTGCCCTCAGCTCTAAAATGGGCGGGCACATTACCTCCTTGAGCACATCCTCCACCGTGTCGTTGCGCAGGACGACGATCTTCATCTTAGACGGGCTGCTAAACTCGTTCGGGTTCTTCGAGTACACCACAAGTTTGAGCGGCTGAATGTCCACTTTGTAAATTATTCTATCCCTCTTGGGAACCTTATAGGGGTAAACCGCCCTTGGGATTTTTAGGTTAAAGTGAAAATGCTTTTCCAAGACCTCTATGGCCTTCTCTGGGTAGAGGAGGAAATTCACTCCGTTTCCATTTTCGTAATCCTTGAGCAGTCTCGTCCTCGTGGTGACGTTACTGTCGTCCTCCACAAATATTTTGTTATTGATCAGTGTTTGGTAGCGACTCGCCTTGCCTTCTTCGTAGTTCCTCAGGCTGTCTATGAATTCTTTGTTCACGATGTGCCTGCGCGGGGGGGAGGGGAAAATAAGAAAAAAAATATAAAAAAAAAATAAAAAAATGAAACAATAAAACGGAATAATACAACAAAATAATAGACCAAAATGCAGCTGTGCTACCGCTTCCGCGACAAAAAAAACGCTCAAGCAATTCCGCGCCACGCACTCACCATGTCTCATTTTCGCTCTTTGGGTCGAAGGGCAGGTTATCAAACAGCTTAAACAAATTCAAAATTTGGATCTTATCAAGGGTTAAGTTTCTGCTGGACGAAGTGGACGTCACTGGAGAATCCATTTTGTGCAAAGTTGGCAGGAAAACGAAGGAAGTAGGGGGGGGGAGAAGCAGTCGGGGAGGCAGAGGGGAAAGCAGATCCGAGACGATAACAGGCTGGAAGTATCTCAGGACGAGACTCGCCTGTCGGAAAGGTGAAAAACTCCCAAGTAGCACGTCTCTACAGTAACTGCTGCGTTGTCATTTCGAAAGGGGTTTTATCCTTCTGCTCTCAGCCTACAGCACGCGTGGGGGGACATATCCCTTTGGACGCTTCGCCTGGTGCGTCGGCCACACCTGCGGCGGTTTTGCTTCGCTGAGCTGCGCTCCGATCGGCTTGGGTGCACTCCGAATTCCTATCCGCGTGCTGCTCTTCTCATGCTTTCCCCCTCTTGCGCTCCTCAACCTCGGTGTAAAAACTATCCAGGCAGGCTCCTTTAACTTTGTAGACAATGACGATGGGGGGAGGTAGCGGACTACCTGTATACCCGCGTGGACTCCGTACTTTTGTTGCTACACAGTTTGGCGGTTCCGCAATTGAGGGGAGGTGAGGGGGATTTCTCCCTCTGTGCGTGCTGGAGACCAACACAACAGCTACTGGTGACATGCCTGCATAATGAGGCTGCTCCATTCACGGCATTGTTGCCCCCCCACCCTCGTTGCTACAATGTGATATTTTTAATTTAAAAGAAAATATCGGCATGTAATGCAAACGCGACACTGCAAAAAACAAAAAAAAAAAATGCAAAGTGTGAGCGACAGGGGAATGCAATAATTTCACAAAGTGCGGGACGCGGGTAAACGGGAAAAAAAAGGAAATAAAAAAAGCGGAAGCTCGGGTGAACGCTACATCGATGCTGTGCCGAAACTGCGGCAACGCTACGGTAAGCCTCGCTCTAAGCCTCGCGCCAAGGTGACTCCGCGGAGAAGCAGGCTGAAACGAACGCAGCGTAAGGATAAAATAAACAGGAAGCCAACGACAAGCCGACAACAAATCAGCAGGGAATAGAAGGCCGGAAATGGGAAGAAAACATTTCAGCAATTCGTCGCACTTCACGCTTCATATATCAATGCGTGGTTTTAATTTCGCTTTTTAAAAAAAAAAATAAATATCATATATCCGTGGCACATTCAGAGCCGCGGGGTAGGGAGAGAGGATCACGCGTTCGAGAATTCACATACAATAATATATACCACACATATCAGTACGCAAATTAGGCCCATTTTATGCGTACCTTTCGCGCGAATATATGTACACGGCTCCCGTTGCCCGTTTGGCGTTCCTCCTCATCCGGTTCATTCATTCATTAAGCCTGCACGGCACACACTGCGAAAATTCACTGAGCCGATGCGCGCATTGCCCGAGGTTCGCAGGTCGGCAGTTTGCCAGTTTGTATACTTTTTCGTTTTCCCCCATTTTTTTTTCCTTTCTTTTTCCTTTTCTTTTTCATTTTTTTTTGCCTTTTTTTTCCCCTGCCTACATCACCTTGCGACAACAAATTCGTTACTCCTCCCAGCCTGCAGCATTCAATCCTTATTTTATTAGTTTTTTTTTTCCGTAAAAAAAAGCGAGAACACAATAATGCCATAAAACAAACACATATGAGGGTTCCTAGGAGGGTGAAAATATTTCGATGTTGGGGTGTTAAACGTGATTACGCTTAAAATGGAGAAAGAGGTGTGTCACTTTTGAAGACTTGCGTTTTATTATTTTTTTTTTTTTCTTTTTTTTGGGGCTCTGTGAAACTCGCCACGATTTGGCTGTAACAATGCTTCACTGTTTGACCTGTTTGACCATTTCCCGGGTGTTCCCGAAGTAGGAGCAAACAGTTCAGTGTGCCACAGGGAGTAGCTTTGCTAATTTTTACTTAGTTGGTCCCGGTTCATCGTTGCTGCGTTGCTCTTTCCCGTGTAGGTATTATTGCAAGCCCGTGGGAGAGAGTTCTCCCCCTGCCGCTGTGGTGTGACAAATGGGTCCACTACTCCCATCGCATTCTCAAGTGCGCCCGGGCAGAGCAGAACGGAAAAGTATTCACAGAGCGACATAGTTACGTAATCAATGTGAGCATTTACGTTTGTTCTGTTCAAGAGTTGCTCAATCAGTTGGGTATTTTCCACCCACCCCCCGAGGAAGGATTCACATCAGGGTGTAGGCAAATTTTAGCAACCGCGTCGTAAAAGAGGCAGTTCCACAATTTGAGAATTTTTTTTTTTTTTTTGTTCTTCCCCACGAGGATGACATTTTCTCGATGGGTTACTTCTTCATTTTGATGGGCATTCCGTTCTTCCCTTTTTTTTTTTTTTTTTTAACTACGCCGTTTTGGTTATTTTGTCCCCCCACGGAGTGCGCAGCTTGGCACAGTTGGCACAGTTGGCAGTTGGAGCTTGTACGGCGTAACGCAGAAAGGCAGAAATTGTCACTCAGCGTCAAATAGGCAAAATAATCGGCCAATGAATCGGCAAAAAAATTGGCAAATAAACTGCCAATAAGTGGCCATTAAATTGCCGACAAGCTGTCATGTACTCGCGCAGGATGTAGCGCGAGGGCTCTTTCCCATCCGTTGAGTGTTTGCTCTTTCTCTTAATTTTTTTTTTTGCAGCATACACCTGCGTGTAGCATGTTTGCAGAGCGCCGACCCTGTTTTGCTTAAGCTTAAGAGTGAAGCATTTCGAGGTGCGTGGGAAAATGCAGGGACATACTTCCACTTCTCGAGGTGATTCTGCAGCCACTCCAGGGGAAGATGCGAGCGCATGCTGCGATGGAAAAGGTGAGAAGCAAAAGGTAGCCCGGAAGAGGCAGCCGGGAAGAGGCAGCCCCGCAAAGGTAACCCCACGGAGGCTAACCTCGAAAGGCAAACCTCGAATGACAATTCGACAAGGTTTGTCCGCCCCCTGACCACCACCCACTCAGTTATGTTCAGCGGCTGGTTGCTCGCACCAGCCATATTGCTCATCTTACTATATAGCTCTCTCTGCGCAAACCCCAACTGCTACTACGCTTATAAGTTACCCACGGGAAAAGTCATCACTAGAGTATTTAACCCATATGTGCAATTAAGACAAAGGAAAGGTTCTTCCCTCGTTCGAGGGTACGACGATGATCGAGGTAATTTCGTGGAAGCTAAAAGGACGGTTAGAATTTCTGATGGGGATATACTTAGGAGAGGTGACCCCTTGGGTTTCACACCAAAGGGGAGTAAACCCAGTGGTAGAAATACAGCACGTAGTTTTAGCGAAGGGGTAGGGCTGACACAGACCAAGTGGCATAACGGGAGAAGCACCTGGAGAAGTGTGAGTAGAAAAAAAAATACATATCTGTTCCTGTTTAGGAGTGACCACAGTGTATCTCCATCCATAGGGTGCAGCAGCAGGGGAGGGAACTCCGCCATCTCTGCGAGACCCCGCAAAACAGTCGAGCGCAGCAAGGCCGAGGAAGCAAATCCCACTGAAGACCAAGGAGGAGGCAACACTGAAAGCGTTACAGATGCCGAAGTGATAACTCCCCAGGGGGGAAAGTACAAAAAGAGGAAGTACACCGAAGTTAGAGACGAAAAGAAGAAAGGAAATCTGCCAAACACCCATGCGGAGCGGTTCACTGGGGTAGACCCCCCTTTGGAGAAAAATGAAGGGAAGCGGGGGAAAGGCGTGACAAAGCTTGGAAGCAAGTTAATACGTGGTGAAGCCAGTGATTCGAAGGAGGCAGTTAGAGATGATTCGATGAGAAGAAGCACCACCCAATTGAGGAGTAATCAAAGGCTCAAATATGAACCTCTCTCCACCATTAATCCTGAAAGTGTCCGCAGCACATACGATGAAGCCATACCAGCGTCGTATTACCAAAGGAAGGGAAGCGAAAAGGAGGCAAGTTACAAAGACTGCCAACGGGAAAGCGGCGGAATGCATGCATACAGATACCCCCTCCCAAATGAGAGCCATTCTAAATTGAGGACCCCCGAGGGCGATACGCCCAGCGAAGACAACGTCGGGAAAACCCTCGAAGGGGAAGTCTACTCAGTCAGCCCGAACGCAGTTCTAGTGAAGATAAAAAATACAGACCACTTCGGAATGCTCTTTAAAAGCAGATGTAACTTTGGAGACGATGTTGGAGATCTGAATGAATACTTCAAGGTGGAGCAGAAAATCTTTGTCAAAGTTTTAGGCATAAATATGAAAAAAAAATTGTACTACTTAGCTAACATAATTAAATACAATCCAGATGTGAAATTGAAGACAGGAGACACGTCAAAGGGGTTGATTACTAAATTGTGTGAGTCGTACCTATTTGTTAAGATTCTGAAGAATGGCACCACTGGGTATCTCCACAAGTCGAAATTGTTTCCCCCATCTGTCCCGCATATGGGGGAGGAGAAGAACAAGCAACAACCGCAAGAGGGGGAGCCACAAAAGGCGGAGCAACACAAGGGGAGACATAACCACAGGTGGGACGTCTTACTAAAAATGGCACAATTTACACGGCTGTTTAACATCTGGGACATTATAGACGTCGAAATTTATGATCGGCCTGATGTGAACTTTAAGTCCAACTATATATTAACCATCCCGGAGGAGTCCAAGACGTTTGACAAAGTGCTCTCCTATTTTGACTCCCTGTCGGGGGGCATCCCGCACGAGGGGGAAGTGAATCATTCAGGGGGAGAGACGTCTGTGAATCAGGGAGGGGAAGAGGCGTCTCTGAATGAAGGCAAGAAGGACCCATTTGTTAATCACCTAGGGGGGGACCCCTTGGAGGAATCCTCCGATGGGGATGCAGCCGACCACAGGAAGAGGAGAAGCAGGACGAGTCACTCGAGGGAGGCACACCATACAGACAGGACGAGTCATCAACATTATACCAGCCCAACTCATGAGGAACAGAGAACCTGCCCCCCCCGTGGGTTCCCTTCTTTAAGAAAAAACAAAGAGGCGCTTCATAAAGATAGAGCATCCGCGAAGTTCTGTCGAGTGCCCGAAAATGCCAGCTTGTCCGTTTTCTCGAAGATGACAAAAATATCCTTGTCCGCGTTGAAAAAATTTTTTATAATCAACGAGAGTAGGGAGTACCATTCGGGGCATACACTGAGTGCGGATCAGATGAGAAAAGCTAGTGAGCATTTTAACGTCAGCTGTGTGGTCGACGTTGGCGAGGGGTCCGTAGCGGAAGGTGCCAAATTGGAAAGCAGCATAGTGGACGGCGGCGTAGTGGAAGACGCGGTTACCCCCGGTGTCTCTCCAACGAGAGAAAGCGACAACGAAGAGGAGGAAGTTCAAACCGATGGGAAGGCAAAGCCAAATGGGGAAATCAAATTGGGGCTAAACAATGCCCGTGTTGCGAGTAAGCCGCGTATTGCCTGCCCGACAGAGGATCCAACCGAGAAAAGTAAAAAGCGGAACATTGTAGTGACCTTTATCGGGCATATCAACCACGGAAAAACGTCACTCTTCGATTACATATGCAAAACGAAGGAGAGGGACAAGGAAAAGGGACTGATAACCCAAAATATAAGAGCGTTCAAAGTGAAATCGAAAGGTAACGATTTCACATTTACACTGATTGATACCCCAGGGCATGAAGCCTTTATGCCAATCCGAAGCAGAGGAGTGAAAATATCCGATCTGAGCATTTTAGTAATCTCTGGAGAAGAAGGAATACAGGAACAGACAGTGGAATGTATCAAACTGATTAAAGAGCATCACATCCGAATTGTAATCGCAGTTACGAAGATGGACTTGCCAAACGTATCGGTGGATCGAATTATTAATGATCTTCTGCATCATGAAATTTACACCGAAATGAATGGTGGAGACGTGCAGGTGGTTCCTTGTTCCATTTTGAAGGCAGAATCTATGGACAAGCTGGTAGATGCAATATATTTAGAATCCGAATTTTTAGACTTACCATTAGAGGAGAGTAAAGATTGCCAAGGAGTTATCCTTGATTCGTATATTGACAAGAATGGAATCGTGTCCATTAATCTAGTCCAGAATGGAACCCTCCGGGTGAATGATTACTTCTACACAGGATCGTCCTACGGGAAGGTGAAGATAATGAAGGATCATCTCAACAAGAAGGTAAAATCCGCGTGCGCCTCCGACCCAGTGATGGTCGTAGGTTACGAAAAGAACTCCGTGCCTGTCGCAGGAGACCGATTTTATGTGGTACAGAACGAGACAGTCGCGGAGCAAATTGCACAGCACCACAAGAATGAGTTGCTCGCTTCACAGATGCGGGGCTTTAGCTACGGGCAGGAGGATGGAAACCTCGATCGCTACAGAGATTATATCATTAATGAGGGCTCCTTTACTCCCGATGAGGAACAGAAGCAGAATGGTGAGGAGGCAAATCCGAATGATGGGGAGCCAAAGCAGGATGGTGGGGAGAAGAACCCACAGTTGGAAGAAAGCACAACCCAAGAAAACTCCCCCCAAGTGGAAGATACCACCGGAGAACCCCCCCCACAGGGAAGCAACAACGAAAAAGAGGGTGCTAATCATTTTGGAGAAAATGACCCCAAGACAGTGTACGTCAGCTACTTCGTCAAATGTGATAAGCAAGGCACGATTGATGTTTTAAAAAATTGCCTCCTAAAGTTAGAAGTGAAGGATACACTGCACCGAGTTCGAAACAAAATTGTTTACTCCAGCATCGGAGACATCACAGCCAGTGACATTACTTATGCTAGAAGTTTCGACGCCATTATTATTGGGTTTAATGTTAAGCTCTCCAAGAGCTGCCCGAAGAATACGAAACAGATGCTGAGTTCTGGAAAATCCAGCTGCCGAATTATCTATGTGAATGTTTTATACGATCTGATTGATCAGGTCGAAGATCTAATGAAGGAGAAACTGAGTTCCAAGCCGAGGGGCACATACAAAGGGCAGGCAACCATTTTAAAGGTTTTCAATGTATCTAAGTTGGGGAAGGTAGCCGGGTGTGTTGTCAACAGTGGCACCGTTAACAACCACAGCAATGTCAGAATTTTGAGGAACGACCAAGTCATCCACATTGGAAAGATCGTGTCGCTTAAGATTGGCAAAGAGGAGAAGGAGGAAGTTAGCCAGGGCGATGAGTGCGGCATGGGTTTTGAGAACTTCGTAGACTTTCTCCCGGGGGACAAGGTGGAGTCGTACCAAGAGTAGGCGAGGACGACGGCGTGATTAGCGGTTAGATTTGTGCCTCCATTCGCGGCATGGTGAGCCGAGCAGGGATGTGACCCCTTTTGGACCCACCATATGGGGGTAAAGCCCCAATGGAATAATGCTCCCGTCGGAGCTGCACCGGCGTTCCTGCCTCTCTCCTCCGTTTTTATTTTTTTTTTCGTCCTTCCGCGTAGAAGGGGTTACCAAGCAGAGGGGCTACACATCTGAGGCGCTACTTTGAACAGCGCGTCAGGAGGACCCCCCCCTATGCGTGTGGCTAAGCTATCCAATCGGCCGCAGACATGCGCACTTATTTTCTCATTTGTCAACCGTGTGACTATTTTTTTTTTTTTTTTTTTTTAATTCGCCCAAGGGCCTACCTTTGCAACCCGTTTCTATTAAGACAAAACTGTTTGTTCGTTTAGGGGAGAACATTTTTTGCATTCTACATGGAGAAGCAAGAAAGAAAAAAAAAAAAGAAAACAAAAAAAAAACACGCCGTTAAGCAAGTTAAAAGGAATTGTCATATATGTACTGCTGATGCAAATGGATGGGCGCCACAAATGTGTCTGTGCAGAAACAGTTAACAAGGTGAGTTGTGTGAAGCGGCAGGTGGATGTTCACACGTATGCTGCTCCTATTATAATGTCTTTTTTGTTTTTTTTTTTTTTTTTCCCTTTACCAAGCCAACTTGACGCTGGAAAACATTGTTTCCAGGCTGTCGTTGTCCTCCTTAAAAATTTGCAGTGTGGATTTGTCCAGGGCGAAAATGTACGTGGTGAGGACTAGGCAGATGAGGGCGCAGAGTAGCCTGAGGGAGGGGCAGTATGTGTGGGGGGTAGCATCATGAAAGGGGAGAAACAACGAAATGAATATTCGAAAGGGGATGGAAAACATATATATATATTGTTCTCCACATGATGGAAATCTCTCCACCTGTATGTTCCCCCCCTTTTTTTTTTTCTCTCTCTCTCCCTCCTCCTTACCAGTAGAGGCCCAACCCCAGGGCGACGTACGACTTGAAGGCCATATATGGAGCCACTATGGTGACGGCATAAAAAAGGGCCGTGTTGAGGCCAATGGCAGTTCCTAACTCAGATTCTTCGACCCGCTTTGTCATTTGACTAGTCCCACATATGTATAGCAAGGCCCCTCCACAAAGAGGAATGGACATGAAGATAAGGACGAGATATTCATTTGCTCCACATAAAGACAGGGATAAGAATCCAGCTAACGTTAAAGGGATAGAAAACTTGCAGCAGGTCATATCTCCTAGGATGGAACTTAAGTAAGGTGCGAAAAGCCCCTCTGCAATGATCGTTAAAAGTCCTGCATACGTCATTAAGTAGGATGTGTGTGATGGGGTCAGCTTAAACATGTCTACTACAACAGGGGCGAAAGCGAATTTTGTCATTAAAATTGGAAGCAAGCCAAACAGAATTAGCAAACAGATGCCATAGGTTTTCCGAAAAAGATTTAACACACGCACATATTCATTTTGTATGCTACTCAGTATTTCCCTTATTTTTATTTCTCCTAAGTTGACTGGTTTTAAAAGCTTCGGATCTTCACTCAGGGTCTTCGCTACGTACAAGGCTGCTATTTGTGACCCCAGTGCGATGAGGAGATTGCCTCTTGGACCGACAAAGTTGACCATAAAGCCGGCGATGAGACTCCCTAGGATGATGCCCATGCCGTAACTGAGGTTCAGGTAACCGATAGCGGCGGTCCTCTTTTCGCTGTCTGTCTTGAGGCACACCAATAAGGAGGAGGCTTGAAAAGCTTGCATGAAGAACGAGGGAAGGAAACTCACGTAGTACGCCCAGGTGGCCCTGGACGCGGGCAGCTGCAGGGGGGATGGACAAGAAGATGGAGATGCAGAGTAAATACCATGACAGACACAAAGGAGCGGCTTCCCCGCGGGAGAGAATTGGATGGCACTCTCATGTGCGTCCCTCACCATTAAGTACATAAGGCTGGAGGAACAAAGGGACAAGTAGAAGGATTTCTTCACCCCCCATCTGCGGAAGGAAGGGGAGGAAGCACATGGGGAGGAGTTCCACTGGAAGGACGAGGGTGCATATTTCTCCATGTATGCACGTATCTATCTATGCACGTATCTATTTTTGCACGCATGTGTGCAGGCGCCGCTTCGGCGGACGTTCCAAGGAGCCCTCATTTTAACATATCAGCGAGTCTCCCAAAAAACATGGACCCCAAAAACTGGAGTAGAGAAAAAAGGGTCAAGAGGTATCCATTGTGTTCTATGCCGGCGTTGGAGCTGATCAGCTGGGTAGATTAATGAAAAAGGGAGGGACCATGTGCAGGTGTACGTTTTGCATACTGAGTAGCAGTGGGAGGAGCTGCATCGTTCTAATGACGCGTTAGGTCTGCTTCCCTTCAAGGCAACACCTGCTTACTCACCAAGTAGGGTAGCATAGCAATTTGTATTGTATAGCCAATCCCATAGAGCACGTTTATCAAATGAGCTTTACCTGAAGGGGAGGAAGGGGTGACCATTTTTATGGTCACCCAGAGGGGAGGGAAGCGGGATCCACCAATGCGAAAGTTGGGTGTAGCGGCCCCTCAAATGTATAAGTGCCCGAAATGGTTGGACCCCCCGGTGGCATTACCAATTGATGAGAAGAAGAACTTCCTCTCCCCCGGGACGACGTCAGATGGGTCGCCTGCGACATGGTCGCTTTTGTGTAGCAGGGTGGAAGTGACGTCCATTTTTTCGATTTGGGTTTTATCTTTCCCTAAGTGGGGAGAAGCGGCGTAGTGCATGGTGGAAGCGACGTTGCGCAGGGTAGAAGTGGCGTTCGGAAAAGAAGCAATCAATTGTCTCAAACCAAATGGAAGAGCACGTCGACAAGACAATCACTTTGGACGAGGCGGGACATACAAAAATGAACGTGTTAATTTCCTCTTTGGGGGAATTTCTTTTTTTGTTTTTACAAAAATCTGCCAATGAACGTGTGTTTTTTCACTATCCGATTGAAGAAATCATGTAACACGCATGTCTACAGTGGGTGTGATTTTTCCTGAACCATATTTTGTCTTTTTTAAAAAAGAGAACAACAGGTGTACGTACTCCAAGGGGCGGTCGGCATGGAGTTCACTTTAAGTCTCATCATCTTTTGGGGCCTCTTCGCGCGTTTGCTCAGGGGAGGGCGGCACGCCGTTCGAGTATATGCGTGATGATAGATACGTGAGAATACCTATGTGAATACATACCTCACATACATACTCATGTGTCCTTCCTCATGTGGGTACGCGTTTGCCCCTTGTCTGCGTTGGGTTCAACGAGGAAGCCTTAACAGTGGGGCGAACAAAGGAGATAGGCTGCAAATAGCGGGGGTGTGACCACCGAGAGGACGACGCAGAACAGGGGGATGACGATAAGGGAGAAGACTTTTTCATTCTTTCCCCCCTCGTGATGCGTTTTCCCTTTCCCCAAATGACAGCGCACTGCATGGGGGCGCGCCATACCAAAGGCCACTTGGACGCATCAAAGGGGGGAAGTGCTCCCTGGAGGGAATGCGTCGGGGGGAAATCATAAAGCGCCAATAGGTGAGCGCAAAATTTGGCACTATATACCCACTCGTGCGGCACATACGTCGTCTTTGCATGCTCAAGCCACCGTGATGAAGGTTACCCTTCGCCAGTCGGATTTTTCCCCCCTTGTGGATTTTTTTTCTTTCTTTTTTTTTTTTGTTTTTTTCTCTTTCCCCATTTGGTAAATCAATGCAGATGAATTTAAAAAGTTGATCCTTCAATTCGCTACCCATCTGCGATGGAGTAGCACTTTGGGACATGATGTGACCCTTGTAATTTTGTGCTCATCACATTTTACTGAGTCGCATCGTGGAGCATTGGGTGGGGGGTCACTTCGCGCGCCCGCCACACCCACCTGCGGATTTGTTCGCCCCTCAGGTTTGGACTTCGCTTGCAAGTGAACTTGTGGTGATGCCCCTGGATATGTTCGTGCATTCCGCCCCTGTTTCGTCATTGTTTTGTCCCCGTTTCGTTACTACTCTTTCACCGTTTCGTCACTGTTCCTTCACTGTTTCTTTTTTTTTTTCATCGTGGTTTACCAAAACGAGTGGGTAATTCCCAGCCGTCTCATTTTCCCGAAGCGATAAAGTGAGGTCGGGAGATGCTACGCGTGGCGCAGTTGGTGCTTCACTTCTAAGTTGGCAGCTAGTGTGGTGATCGATTGGGTGGCACCCGGCGTCCTCATGCACTGCATCGAAGCACGTAAATATAGCAATATATATATTTTCCTGTTGGCTGTACTTACCTAGGCAGCGACTGCCCCGCTCTTGGCTACCCTCCCGTGGCAGCGCCCTCTGCGTGTTACCAGCTGCGTTTAAGTAGCCCTGCGTACGAATCGCCACACGAAAGGCAGAGACCATGTCGACGACTAACCCCACGAGGGAAACCACCGAGTGGGACGACCTGCAAAGGAAGTATGGGAATTTGCCCCCCCTGGAGAAGGAGGTGAAAGAAGAAGAAATATACCTCAGCCAATTGGAAAGACTGGAGGGCATCAACCCGCTGGAGAAAAAGAACCTGCACGAACTGACGTTGCTGGAGGAGAGCTGCGTCGACGAGGAGTATCTCAAAATCATCGAGAGGCACAAAACGAATCGCTTAAAAGAAATAAACAGAAGTAGGGCACTCGATGTGTTTGGGGAAGTGTACGAAATTTCAAAGGACAACTTTCTGTCCGAAGTTAACGAAGCGAGTAGGAGGAACCCCCTGGGTGAGCATGGCGGCCGGTCGATGGAAAGCACGCGGGGGGATGACGATTTAGAAGAGGAGGAGGAAGAAGCAGAAGTGGAAGGCGTCCAGGCAGCCTCACCCTCACAAAACACAGAGGGCACCCACGTCGTGATCCACCTCTACTCAGATAACGTCATCGCGTGCAAAGTGATCAATAACATCCTAAGTCAGCTAGCCAAAAAGCACAAATACGTGAAGTTCACCAAGGGGGTCTACAATCGAATTGTAGAAAATTACCCCGAATCGAAACTTCCCACTGTTCTGATTTACTACAATGGTGTCTGCACACACCAGATTTGTAACCTACTCAGCAGCATAAAAGGAGGAGTAAACAACTTAACTTTGAAAACGTTGGAGCACTTTTTAGGAAAATATAACATTTTTAGGTCCCCCTCAAGTCTGCTGAGCAGTGGAAAGAGTCTTAGTGACAACACAGCTCATTCTAGTGATGTCGACAGTGAAGATGGAGGTCGCTATGCTGAGGGAGATACCGATGGACATCGAGATCGTACGGATCGATATGCTGAGAAGAGCACTCGAGTTAGAACAAACAAACAGTACACTTCTTTTAATATGTTTCGTACGAAGAAAACAAGTCGGGACTACTCCTCTGATGAAGGAGGATGGAACTCCAGGGGTTATGCCTCCTCCATGCTGGATAGGAAGGTTAATCGAAAGGAGTTCTAAGTGGGGCAAAGAATGTGCCATGGGGGGAGGGGCACTCCATTCTGCCTCCCTATCTTTTCTGCGTACTTTTGCTGCGTAATTTTGCTGCCTATTTTTTTTTGTTACAAACTGGGTGTACTTTCATGTCGGGGGAATGGGGGGAGACACACACACGCCTCGGCTGCTAAAGGGACGTGACATTCTATCTCCAATGAACAAACATGCAAAGAATGAAACAGTCAGAGAAAGAAGCAAACAAGAAGACAGACAAACAAACATATTACTCCAAACAAACAAAGATGTCACGCCAAATGGACACCCATTCGCAAAATCAAACGTGTAGAAGTGATATGTTACATCGGATACGCAAACACATTGTGAACGTGGCTCGACGGTGGGGTTGGGGGTGCATACGCACGCATAAATATATACCTGCCTGCACACAGGTGAACGAAACTCGTTACCCCTCCCCTAACGCGACAACAACGCCGCGGAAATGTCCCTCTCGATAGCGGCAGGGAACAAAATCTTGGTCAAGCAGAGGCCCTGTGCAGGTGCGCACAGCTTCACCTTCAGTGGCTTGCTAAAATGAAGGGCGTCCCGCACGTCCTCGTATTGCAACAGTCCCACTCCGACCTGAATCAAAGTACCGACGATTATCCTAATCATGTGATATAGGAACCTATCTCCCTGGATGACAAATTGGTAGATATTACTCCTTAATTGGTGTAACTCCAAAAAGTGGATGTTGCAAAATGGGTTCACCTTCTTCTGCTTCTCCGTCCCTTTCAACGTGCCGCAGAAGAATTCAAAGCTGTGGTGTCCTAGAAACAGCTTGGAGCACTCCTTGATTTTCTCCATGTCGCACGGTATGGTCAAGTTGCTTCCCCCCTCGCGATTGATTATGCGCATGGAGTGGGAGACGTCTGGTTGGGTTGGCAGTTCGGTTGGCGGTTGGGTAGACGGTTGGGTAGACGGTTGGGCTTCTTCTCCCCCGCAGTGGAGATCGTCAGAGATAGCCTCCTTACGAATGGCCTCCTTACGAATGGCCTCTTCACGAATGATCTCATCACAGGTGAGCTTGTTAGAAGCGACCGCTCCACCGCCTCGCACCGCGTGGTCACCAAAAAGAAAACTCAAATTTTCGTCTACACTGGTCAGCCCGTTTGTCGTCACGCAGTCATTCTGGTATTGGCTGCCCTCCTGTTTGTCCTCCTCCCCTTGTTCTTTTTTTTTTTTTTTTTTTTTTTTCGAACTCTCCCGAAGAAGAAATGCAAACCTCGGGTCATCAGACAGCTGCCATGCGTAGTTTCTCTCCAAAGGCTGACTCGGAATTCGAATGTCAAAATTGTATGTGTATATTTTTCCCAAATTATTAAACCTTACATTGAAGTCGGGGAAGGGTGCATTTAGAACGGCCAGGATTTTTATGTCCTTATTTAGTAAGCCATTTAGTGCCATTTTGACCTTATTCAGGTTGCCATCACACGGGGGGGGCCTGTCATAAGACACATACTGACATATATACTCTTTCGCGTGGACTCCCTTGTCAGTTCTACTTACGCCTATAAATTCGAAGGCCTTCAAATTGGACTTCACGTCCCCTTCATCTCTGTTCAATTGGTATCCATAGCCATGAATTTGCAAAATGCAATTTAGGATCATGTTTTGCACTGTGTCGTACTTTGACGTCCCATTTGACTCCCCCGTTTGCTTCTTCCTCTTCTCCTCCTCCGTCGCTGCATTTTTGTAACTCCTCGTTGCGCTTAGGTATACATCGCTACAATTTTCAATGCCCGTCCACCCGCTATAGTTTGTTCCATCGTAGTCAACGATGAGAAGGATATTGGTGAGTTTGGGGCGATTTGGGGGGGTCCCCTCATTTGGGAAGTTACATACAGAGGATGCTCCATTTGGACCGATTGTGGAAGGTTCTTCATTGAGGACGTTTAGATCGCCCGGGTTTGTCTCATCGTCAACGGTGTGCAACGCCATTTTGTTCCTTTTCACCCTTATCACATAGAATGACTTGGTTGCCACAAAAGAGGGTCCTCCCCGATGTATCACCTTCACTTTGAGGACCTTTTTCGAGACCCCTTTGCTTTCTATTTTTAAGAGCACACTCAGATAGAGAAGCAAAAGGATGGAATTCATATTCGAGTCGGCACGAGTAGCTGTCTTCTTCTATGTATGCTCACTCTGGGGTACTACTGGAGGGGTGCGATAGGGAAGCATGATTTTTACACTTCCACTTGGCCAAAAAAAAGAGAAAAAAAAAAATTAAGGTAACCCTTTGGAGAGTGTACCTACAACGCTTGCTCGTTCGACCAATCCGAAAATCTCTCTCGTAGTTTCCTGTTCCTCATCCATGGAAGAAGGGATAAGGACTCCCCCCGCTGGCGTCGCTCAGAGCAATTCAGACCAATTCAGGGGACTCTTCCGCGCGATGACTAACTTGTCAAGTGGACCCTCCATGAAAAAAATAACCAAAGCGTTATATCGGTACAGCTTTACCCGCGTTGGAACAGGTGCGCGACTGGGGAGGAGTTACGCCTCTCGAGTCGTCACAAAATGGGCTACAAACACAGAGCGTAAAGAAGCTCAACGGATACAACGCACACAGTGCAGACAGCGCAGTTTGCCCACTTGAAGCAACGTCTTAAAATGCACAGGTCAAAAGGGCGTCCACACATTTGTGCAACGGGAGGGGTACAATCACTTTGGGGCGACAATGCGAACAGAGGGTACCGTGATTCGTCCCCAATTAATCATCTGTGTACGTTTTTAGAAAGTCGAAAAATGGTAGGACGAGAAAATAAAAGGAAGCAAACTTGCATGGATATTTTAACTGTACAGGTGGGAAGATTACACTTACCCGACGTCACGTGTGAAGAGGGTGTGCGCGTAAATGCTTCCCCTTTCCTACCGCTGCTCCGGGGCCGGGGGTTAGTTCAGCCTCTTACAGTCGTTAACTGGTTCGTTCCTTTCGCAGAGCTTTCTTTGGCCTCTTTGTTGCGTCTTTGTTGCGTCTTTGTCACCTCCTTTTTTCACTCTCCCTTTAAGCCTCTCCCCCCCAGCCGCGCATTCTCAGCTATTCTACTCTCCTTTGCTGTTTTTTTTCTTTTTTTTTTTCCGCTTCTGCCATTCTCTAATATTAATAAACGAAAGGAAGAGGAAGCAAACTACATACTTGGCCAAATTTATGCAGCCATATAGGTCCATTGTGTTGTTTCCATTTTTTCTGGTGCCCCGCACAGGGTTGCTCTTGCATACGTTGTGGTGGTAGTGTGTCCTTCCGCTGGGGTGTTACTTAAAAATTTGCACAGCAGGCCCTGGGGTGTGCTTCCCCCTCTTCCACTCATTAAGAAGTGATTAAAGAGGTTTTTTCTTCTTCCTTTTTGTGCAAAATGGGCAAAAGGAAGGTTAAAAAATGGAGGAGCAGGAAATTGCCCACTCAAGTATTCCCAATGACGCATATCTTTTTGAAAAGAAAACTGCCAATGTGGGTATCTTCACAAAAAAAAAAAGGAAACACTTAAAAGTTACTTTTTTAAAGAATTCACGGTTACCCTTTTTTACTGTAGGTATATATATGCAGTTGGGGAGAAAAGAAAAAAAATTGCTACACGGCGGTGATTATTTCGCCGGGGAAAACATAGCAAAATGTACATTCGTACCATAGGTACTTGCGATAGGGTGGGATATATAATTGTTTCCCGTTTGGACCCATCCGCGGTGAACCATTCTCAAAGGCACACAAAAAATTGTTGCTAAGTTTTTTTGCGGGAGACGACGACAGGTTTAGGTGTCCTTGTCGCAGTTGGACCCTTTCGGCGTGAGTAGAACGACGACACTGTAAGAAGTGGGCACTGCAGGTATGCTACAAAAAAAGGTTATCACCCCCTGACCCCGTCCATGCGCCATTTTCTCAATCTGAAGGCGCTTCACAATATCGTATGGTTAATAGCGGCTTAGAGGAATGGGGGCTCCATTCTTTGGCCCTCCCCGCTTGTCGGAACAGAAATGCAAAAGTTAACGGTGCTTTCTTGCATATAGTTCCCCCATTTGGGCGTTCGTGTATGAGGGGCACATCGCTTAATAGGGACACCCACTGCCGCATTGTTCGCTTCCCAAGGGGTAAAGGAAACCGAGCAATGAAGGAGGGGCAAGAAAGAAAAAAAAAACAGATGGAAGAAGAATTGCCTCCGCAGCTGCATAATATTGTTTGACGAGCGCTCTTCGGAATTATATTGGCAAACCTACATGACAGGACTCGACATCATACAACTACTACTACTCCCCCTTGCAGAGAATTTTTTTTTTTAACTCACCCACTGAAGTAAAATAAACCAACAAGAAGAAAAATTGAAGCCAGTTTGATATATCACGCTGAGGATTTAAAAAAAAAAAAATTCCAACGAAGGAATACAATAAAGTAACTTCCAGCAGAGGCGTTATAACTACCTCCCGTACGGCGTTCTTTCACCATCGTTCAACACGAAAGGGAGATCCACTCCTTACCATTTCCCACGAAGAGAGAAAACTTTACTATATGTACTACTGTCGGAGCGACGAGTTGTACGCTTCCATTTTCACTGCAAGATGGCATCCAAAAAGGTGAAAGCCCCCCAACCAGAAACGGCCATTGTTTCCGGCCCGCAGCCCAAAGAGGGAGAGTTGGTTTTTGGCGTGGCGCACATATTTGCCTCCTTTAATGACACCTTTATCCACGTCACTGATTTAAGTGGAAGGGAAACCCTCGTCAGGATTACAGGTTAGTGGGGACGCCAAGAAGAAGAAAAAAAAAAGGCGAAAAGGAGGAAAAAAACTACATACATATGTGTATCTAACATGTACATGCGCAAATGCGGATTAACAGCCCCCACTATTCGCAACATCCCTGCCAAGTGTAGCAACTCTGCACGTGCCCTGTGCCGTTCTTACTGCTTCCACCTCTCGGAGTTGCAGTGAAGTGAAAAGGGGTGTCATTACCGGGAGACTCGCCTATTTGGTCCGAACCCCCCGCCCTGTTAACCCTTTCCCCGTTTTTACCTCATTTTTTTCCCGTCCATTCCAATACCCCCACAGGTGGCATGAAAGTCAAGGCTGACAGAGACGAATCCAGCCCGTACGCAGCCATGATGGCAGCACAGGATGTCGCAGTCCGACTTAAAGAATTGGGAGTCTCAGCCATTCACATCAAGTTAAGAGCCTCAGGGGGCACCAAGTCGAAGACGCCGGGTCCAGGTGCGCAATCAGCCTTAAGGTAAGCAGAGGAGAGAACCAAGAAAAGAAAAAATATATATATACATATATACACATATATATAGGGAGAGAGAGGATCCGCGTCATAATGGGAGAAGGGCCCAAGCCTACGTTACGCACATTTGAATTTTTACTTTTCCTTATCCGCTTCCCACTACCCATTGCTAACGCAACCCTCGCTTTCCCCCCTGCAGAGCTTTAGCACGTTCTGGATTAAAAATAGGGCGAATAGAGGACGTGACTCCAATCCCTACCGATTCCACGAGGAAAAAGTCCGGAAGAAGAGGAAGACGTTTGTAGAGCAGTTTGCGTAGTCTCCACAGAAGGAAGAGCCTGTCCATCGCGAAGAGGACACATATGTGTACGTTCACATGTGTGTATGTGTATGCCTTATGTATGTACCCGCGCGTAAGGTGATTCTGCGATGATAAGGAAGCGAGCAACGGGGGGGTTGGAGAAAGCCGAACTGCAAAGGAAGAAGGCCCCATATTCTCTCGCCGTTGTCGCGAAGTGGCCGCATATGAACATAACGCCGGAAGAGCAGCGCAGTTTGCCTTTGCGCGAATGAGAGCATGTCTGCTTTAACCCCAGTTGCCTCTCGGCTCGCCCCACTTCCACCTCAACTTTTAACTTTATTATACTTCATTTCAGTTTTTACTTTTTCTTTTACTTCATTTTTACATCATTTTTACTTTATTTTAATTGACTTTTTTTCCCATCTTTCCAACGTGCCAATATGAACAGTAATTACTCCTTCCCTTTGCAATTCCAAGACACATGCCAATTTATCGGTTAACCAGATTAACGTAAAAAGGGAAAACGCTCCTCGGGAGTGCATATGGTCACTGCGATCAGCGCGGACCCAGCCGAATGTGCGCACTTTATGTGGTTGGCTACACATAGCAGCGGCTTTAACGAAATGGCTCCCGCGTCGAGTGATGAGAGAAACTTTTCGGAGGCAGCGTCAATTTCAAAGGACAAACTAAAAAGGTGTTCTAAGGCTCACCCAAGGAACTTACGACTGTCCAAAGGGGCATCGCGAAAATAACGGCGTGGTAAAATTTTTTGCAGATAGACGCACAAATTGTATGAACATGTGGAGGTAAAAGTGGATTACTTTTTTTTATTTGAAGCCTACTTCGGCATAAGAACGTGGCCACCCTTTAGGATAAACACTTCAAATGGTTGTCTCCTGTGGCGACTGAGTTTTCCACCTTGGGAGGAACGAAGATGGGAACGGAATCGCAAGACCAATGCAGACACATGGGGGGATAGGAGAAAGACGCGCCATAGTGTCAGTCGCAGTGGTCTCCCCATTTTGCACCTGATTCCTCCGCTTCATATCATCACCGAATAGCGCTGGAAGTTTTCGCGCAGGAGGGCCTTCTTCTGCTCGGAGTTCATCTGAAGCCACTGGCCGCCGTTGATGGGGATGATCTGCAGGGGGGGTAGAAGGTGGTGTGGAGATGCTCAGGTGGTAAGGAGATCCTCTACGCTTAGTATCCTCACTGGAGTGTATAGCTGGGTGCGATCCCCCACGCGGAGCAACTCACCTGCCAGCCGTGTGCATGGAGGACGCGCATCTGTAGCGTGACGAAGCCGCTGTTCATGTGATCCCAGCTACCCTTCTCTAGAGTGCGCATGAGGTGTTCCTTCCCAAAGACACAAATGCCTATCTTCATTCCCTCATTGAGAAGGATATCAATCATGTAGGGAGAGTTCTGATAAGGTTCAAAGTGGAGCTCATAGGAGACTTCAAAACATTTTAACATGTGTGTTAGTTCACTTATTATTTTGTTCCTCATTTTTAAGGCATCCTTCTCCTTTTTGTAGACGCTAAAATCGTTCCTCAGCGTTTTGCACTTTTCATGCATGCAGTATTTGTACATACAATCCAGCGCATCGACGTTGACTAAACAGTGAGGTATCTCGCTAAAACACGCATCTGCAATTTGATGGAGTCTCTTGAAAGCTTGCGAGTCTTCTGGGTCTCTCTCCCGAAAGGTGGCATTTAAAATGTGATGAAAGGATTCACTATCTTTGTGATAGTTCGCCACAATGTACGACCAGGTAATGTTCACAAGGCAGTTCCTATTACTCATCATATGATTGTCTGATCTGATGTATTCTTCTTTCCCTAATGTGTCAAGCAGTAACGTGTACGAGCTATCGAAGAGGGGCTTAAAAATGATATTCACGTAAGCACATGACCACAAAAAGGTGGCAACGTCAATCATTTTTCCTTTTATTATGTCCCATTCTTTGTACACCTGCTCTATTAGCACTTTGTACACCTCCTCATCATACACATTCATTTTGACGATGGAAGATAAAAGCTTCAAGATTTGAAAAACACTCAATCGACTGAGCACGTACATATCCTTCACATAGTCAAAGACGTTACGTAAGTAGTTTGCGTGGAACCAAGATATTTTGGCCAAACTTATAATGGGGTGTATCCATAGGGAGATATTCTTCGCATGAAGAAGATCATTGGACCTCTCACACAGCACATCTAGGAGATTGTTATACAATACGATTCGTTTGTTGTACGAGGAGAAGCAGCTTATTGCGTGCACCACGTCTTCTACGGGTAAGAGGCCAATCAGCTGAGTGTTCCTTTGTAGCAACTCGAAGATGTCGTTCACTGCTTCTTTTACCTGCTCTCCGTTTTTTCTACTATATTCCAAACACTTGAGGCATTTCAAGCACTCTACAATTTGGCAGAACGCTTCCTCCTTTTTTGACATGTCATGTGGTGGTCTATCTGATCTGTCCAACTTCTTCATGTTGTTATTTCCGTTTGTGTCTTCCAAAGTTGGCATCATACCAGCGTCCACGTTGGAGAGACCAATTTGTTGCTTCCCTGGCGAGGCGGTGTGCTTCATGAGTGGAGAGGTCAGCGGCGACCCGGGCGAATGCACCTCCTCACGGTCTAATCGCTTCACCTCCTCACTGCCCAGCCGCCTCACCTGCGAACTCACATGGGAGCTCACCAAATTAATCAAACTGACGTACCTCTCGGAGTGTCTAAAATTCGTGGCGACCTTCAGTGCAAGTTGGCAGAAGGGTAAGTCGAAGTGGGGGTCATCGCTAAGGAGTTGATCCACAGCGCGATCATAGAAGGTGCAATACTCCTTGCAGAACCGATGGAAGGAGTGGAACAGACTCTTCAGCTGGTCCAGGCTGAACTCTCCCATTTTGGCCACACAGAGGGGAACCAGTCTGTCCAGATAATGCTTCGTTCTGAGGCTGTGCTTGTAACACTCCTCTGCAAAGCACACCAATGCATCTGTGTCGAGGTGCCCCAGTTTGGAAGCCATATAATCGTAGAACTCGGAGAAATAAAGAGAGTGCCTATTTAACACGGTTACGCAATGCAGGCAGAGTTTCGTTTCCAGTTGCTTCTCCTGTTGATCCGTGGATCTCCCCTCCCCTCCTCTTATCATCTTGACAATCTCGTAACACAAATCACGGATCCTATTTTTCATGTTTAGCTTGCTTAGTCCTCCTATCAGATCGATCAGACTATGCCTGTCTATGTGCTCGATGTTATCACCCACTTGGTTGAAGAAGCTATTTGCGTGTCTCTCTTCCAAGTGGAGAAGGATGTTTTTATTTTTGTTCACCAGGGTCACCGCGTCGGGTGCAAACTTGGAGTCTTTTTCTCCCTTTTGAAGCAGCCCTTTCAGGAGCTCCAAATCGGTCTCCCCCCCGACGGCGGCACTTTCAATGGAGTGTGTGAGCGTATCGTCGCTTTCGCTTCCTTGTACGTGCGCATCGTCGTTTCCCCTCCCATGTGCGCTCCCCACGCTGCTCATAAACCTTTGGTATTCCATTTCCTCCTGGTCCCTCCACTTCTCTTCATCCACGCTGATGTCGAAGGTGAGGCCCGTGGAGACGTTGTCGTCATATTCGACCTTGTCAAATGGGACGTTATCGTCAAAGTCGACCTTGTCAAAGTCGACGTTGTCAAATGCGGCCTTATCACTTGCGGGGTTGACCTGTTCGGCACCAAATGTATCACCTTCATCTTTCCGCTTTGCGAACGGCTCGTAATTCCTGCTGCTAGAAAAAGTGCACTTCGTTAGATGTACCCTTCTGGCAGCGTACTGAACGAACCTCACCCGGAGGCTCCTTATCGGCAGTCTTTTCATTCTGTGGTGTGGCGGGGAAGCGGCGAGGAGGCGGACCGGCTAAGCAACAACTAGGTGCCTCTGCAACGCTGCAAAGCAAAATGACGAACTGGACGACTGTGAAATACTGCAAGGGAATCGCCCCCTAATTAGAAGCAACTTGGTCCGCGCCTTGGCCAGATAAAGCAGCAAAAAAAGAAAAAAAAAAAAGGAACATACCTACTTGCGAGCCAAACTCTCTCGGTTCTCTGGCAGCAGCGCCCCTAAATTTGTTCGTTCTGCACAAGTACATGCCACAATTGTGAGTGGCTGATTTTTCTTTTTTTTTCACGTGGCAGTAACTTTTTACGGGCTTCTTTATTCAATGCATCTTATGTGCACTCAATCGATGTTCCTCTTCTATGTTGGCCGAGGAACGAACGGCACTCACATCGCATGGGGAGAAATAAGGACGGAGGGGAGACCCCTCCTGTTGTATACTCATAGTTCCTGCTGTTCGCGTGATAGGGGTTATGTGCATACGTCTGTTTGATCAAACGGGAGGTGCTGGGGAAGCCGGTCGGTACTGCACCTTCTTGGGGTGTGCCCCTGATTTTTCCAACACTGCAACGGAAACTACCACTGACACTATGACTGGTACTACCACTAACATTACGACTGGTATTACCTCTTCGCACCGTTGGCCCTATGAAGTGGTACAAATAGGGACGCACAAGGGAGAGACTCTCCCGATTGAACATGCCATCCAGTGTAGGCGCGGACGCGAGGGGATTCACTTATACACAGCGATGTTGTAGAAACCCTCTTTGGCCTCTTCCCGTTGAGTTATCAGTTTAACTGTGGAAGCAACGGCTCGTTCAGCAGTCATTCCGAAATGTAGGAAGTGGGTTGGACCTTTGAGGGGTGAAGCTCTGCGGGGTGCAACTCTGCGGTGAGTTAGAAGTTCATTTGCAAAGGTGACACATCAGACGGGTGGAACCTCGGACAGCGACACATCTGCATGGCTGGCTTTTCTCCACCGCCGGGCAAGCAGAAGCGGACCGGTTAAAAATGTGCCTGCGAAAGAATCGCATCCAGATAGCAGTGGAGGGGCAAACAGTTTCTCCAGTCTGACAGAGACGAAAAATTGCTGACGGAAGGGAAAGGTCTCCCCAAGAGGGTACCCCCTCTGTGGTGTATGTCAAGTCTGGGCGCCTCCAGATATTCAAAGCCACGTGGAGGTGACGTCTGGAGAGGCAAACTTCCTACCTCTTCTTAACCAACCCGGTGTGCCACCCTACAGCTAACTCCAATGATGCGATGTGGGCCAGGCGGGGGGGAGGCAACATTTTCTTTGGAGGGGAAAAGGGGAGAAAAAAAATAAAATAACCTTCCTATGGCATTTCGCCTTCTCAATAAGTTCAAGGAGATGAAAAAGAAGAAAAAACGAACCGAAAGGATAGGTGTTTATTTTTTTTCTTTATTTTTTTTTTTTTCATCTTCCCAAGATGAGGGTGCCAAACTGGTGTCACCTTTTGCTGCTAATCATCGAGGGTAGGTACAGTCATATGATTGGCTGTTCCAAAGGTGCATGTCCGCATAGGCACATAATAAATACACATGAGTAGTGCTGTGCCTGGCCAGTCGCCATGGCAAGTGAGTACTGCGTTGATCGCCCAGCAAGGCAGAATCCTACTCCACTCCGCAAGGGACAGAAGCCGCACAGGGCCTTGCTACGTTGAGTGTAAACAGCACGGCCAGAAGTACGCCAATCGGTACGCCGTCGCCGCACCCCCCCCCGCGTATGTAAAAGGATTTTTCCCCGGAGGGTGCCTGCTCGCCCAATTTTGTGCAGCGCCATTTTTGCCATCCTCGAAATTGCCAAACATAGAAAAAGGGAGCTCCTCCAGCGCGTCAGCAAGAAGTGGAAAACCGAAAGTGAAAAAGGAAAAGTGGAAAAGCATAAAAGAGGAAACACATAAAAGAGGAATAGAAAAAGAAAAGCAAAAACGCTAAAGTACGGCACCCCCCAAAGGGCCTCAACGCGCGACCAAGTCCACCCGCTCCCATCAGGCCTCGACCAGAAAGGTCAAGAACCGATAAGTTACGAAGCAGGCCCATTTGTTCTAGCCATTTGTTTGTTCCTACGTTCCGCTCAGCTGTCCGGCAGCTCTTGTGGGCGCGCGAGGAGTACACACCCGCGCCGCAGAGGGGAGCACTCCGCAAAGGCAACTGCTTCGCAGGGTAACCGCTTCACAAGGCAATCGCTTCTCAAGGCAATCGCTTCGCGACGAGACCGAAGGAGCACACACCCGGCGAGCTTAAAAAAGGAGGAAGGAATTGTCGGCCGCATTACCCCCGCTACCTAGCAACAAATGATCCGCGCATCCCGGGTTGAAAGGACGATCACTTCAAAGTTAGCCCCAACAAGCGAATAACAAGTGGGAATCAGGTGAAGTGCGACCTTAATAGGGCCCAAACCACAAGCAAGAGTTACACGTGAACCTGTAGGTACGCGGAGGACGGCTGGACCAGCGTAACGGCAAAGAAGCAACGGGACCCGTTGGCGAGTGGGAGGAGGCCCTCCGAATGCCCACAAGGAGATATTTCGGAAAAGGCGGAAAAGCAGCCGTTGGGGAGCATCAACTCGGAAGGAGATTCTGGGAAAAAGTTTCTGCGAAGTCGCAGCGGAGGACACCATTCTCAGAGTCTCCCCTCCTTACCCCCCCGTGCGCGCTCGCACCGCGGGAAAGATAGCGTATCTGCACAGTGCGAGACCCCGTCTGGATCAGGCCGCCTCTTCCAACCGCTGCCCCACGCAGGCCCCTAAAATGAAGTGCCCTTGTCGCATCGTACCATAGATTCAGTAACAGCATGAAAAGGAGAAGAATCGAACGATGCATCTTCCAATTTTTAAGCAAGTTAAAATTTTACCTAAACATATGGCGAAAAATAAAAAATGTAATAAAGTACCTCTTTGGAACCCTTATCCTGAGGGAAAAGTTACACTTTAGCACGTACAGGAAGAGGAGAGTCTGTCCAAGTATGACTCTCGTGTTGGATTTAGACGAAACACTCATTTATTGTACAAAAAAGAAAAAGTTCAGTCATCAGAAGGAGGTGGATGTGTTAATCAATGGGAGGTACTTCTCCTTATATGTGTGTAAGAGGCCATACCTAGACCTCTTCTTCTCCATTCTGAACCCATTTTTCGAAATAGTCATTTTTACAACTTCGATAAAGTCCTATGCCGATACAGTGCTGAACATAATAGATGTGGATCACTACATAGATAAGAAATTTTACCGAGAGGACTGCTTCGAAGTGAATCAGAAGATCTATATAAAGAATCTGCAGAGCATAAAAAAGGAGATATCCAAAATGGTCCTAATTGATGATTCCAATGTATCTGGTCTGAAATATCCAGAGAATTTTTTCCCCATAAAGAAATGGCAAGGGGATTTAAATGACACGGAGTTACTAGACATGATCCCTTTTTTTCTCAACTTGAGGAAAGTGAGAGACGTCCGATCTGTGTGTTCTTTTAGATTAAAATCTCAGAAGGAGATAACCAAATTGTTTCATACCGTTCCGTCGAAGCAGATTAAGTACCTAACTGATCGGGGTAGTAACTTTCTGTACTCTCCCTCTCTTGCCTTTCAAGCGATCAATTATTTGAAAATCTTTATGAATCGGTTCAGGTATGCCAGCTCCAAAAAGCAGTGGAATGAATTGGGCAAGAAGATTAACAGCAAATTGAAGTCCTACCCCTTTTCCCTGTCCAAGCTCAAAGGCTCCAGTGACGACGAGCATAGGAAGCGCCACCGGAAGCAAGCGGCCAAGAAGGGGCAGCAGTAGTGGGGAAGGAATAGCAGTAAAGCAGTCGCGTTAAAGCAATCACTCTGCAGCAGTAGCGGCGCAATGTTTGGTGGCTAACCTGTTCACCTATACTCCCTTGCCCGCTTCCGAAGAGCCTTGTTTTTTAGTATATATGTAACTGTAAATGTGCGGGGGTGGCTGTGGTGGCGATGCAGATGGCATCCCGTGTGGACATACCGGGGGATGCACTCCTGGATACTCGCCAAATAGCAAATTAAAAAAAAAAAAGAAAAGGACATGCCCAAACCCGCGTGAGTCTCCAGTCAAACACCGCCTTCCAAATTGTGGTCCCACTCCGCACGTTTATCTATCCTGACCCAGCGTAACAGCCATATGTAACGTCCATCTGTGTGTAACTTCCGCCCCCACTGTGCCGCCACCCCCCAGTGCACTTACCTATTGTGTATAAACCATGAAGATTGTTCCCCACACGCGTGGGCAGGCAACTCACGCAAGCCGTGTAGATGCGCATGTGCACCCTCATGAAACATAATTAAAAGTTACCACCTCGTTAGCGACCCCTTTTCAAATGTTTTTCTCCGTTTCGATGCCCCTCCACGGATCAATCTGGGAAAGACGCAACTCCGCCGCGAAGGGGCTTTGTGGAAAGGTGGCAAAAAGGGATACCCCCATTTTTTATGCCAATATGCAGTTGCATGCCAACCCCTTTTCTTCTGTACCTTCACTGCACCATTTGGGGGAATGCACCAAATTGCGTTACCCTACATTGGGTGATGAATGTGTGTCGCTTAATTTGAAAGGCCACTTATCCAACCGATTAGGTGTTTGTGTGTGCATGTTTGTGTATGTGATGGTTGGGGGGGAAAAAAGTGGTCAACGGAGGTGGTTCCTTCCCCCCTTCCCATTTAGCAGCATGTCACCAGGAAAAGCGCAGTACCAACAGGGAGGGAGCATCAAATAAAAGGGTGTTGCAAAAGAGAGCTTATCTATGGTACAATACCCCAGATTGCCAATTTTTAGTGACCCCACTTTTAGGGCTCCCCACGTGATGGAAACGCAGGCGAGATTTGTAAAAAAATAAAAAAAAAAAATTTGCACCTCATTTGAATATTCACTTGGATCCTATGTGCTAAGGTTGGCCTCTCTACTTCTGCAGCTGTGAAACGGGGGAGTGGCAATTATTTGCGCACGGATAAAAATCCCCCGTTGGGTCGTGCTCCGTTGACTCTGTTCCCCGTGGCTCTTTGGCGACGTCCCTATCCTATGCATTGGTGGTCACATGGTGTATGTACCTTTGTATACTTAGCACTCCCCTCGGAGAAAAACCAATTTCAGCCAATTTTCAGATTAGCATCTTTGCGCAGGGCACCATTTAAACAAGCGACAAATGTTGACATCACTTCCTTGCGTGAAGCGATGAAGCGGTTAAGCGGCACGTAGACTACATCGACGGTGTCAGATTTCTCCAAATAAGTTTCTCCTCTTTTTATCCTCTCCCTTTCCCCATCGTTGGCGCTGTCACATTTTGCCTCTTCCCCTCTGCGTGTAGCTAGCAAAACTGGTTTATTTCTTTTCCACTTGTACCCCTCCAATCCAGCTAATGTTTTTGAGCGTCTTCAAAATGACCGTACAGAAGGTAATCGAAGAGAAGTTAAGCTCAGCCTTGAAGCCCACCTTCCTCGAATTGGTAGATAAGTCATGTGGATGCGGAACAGCCTTCGATGCAGTCATAGTGTCCAGTAACTTTGACAGTAAGAGGCTACTGGACAGACATAGAATTGTTAACGATGTTATAAAAGATGAATTGCCAAACATACATGCTTTTTCTATGAAATGTCACACACCTAGTGAATTTGATAAGTTGAAGAGCAGCCAAACATGAAGCCGTTTTATGTATGGGTAGGACCCTGGTGAGGAAGAAACACACCCCTCACCTACATTTGGAAAGAACATTTTAATGTTAACCAGTTTAGGAGCAATGTGTCTTTTTAGCGTGTCCAATGAGTCCCCTTCTGGCCAAGTTAAAAGCGTAGCTTCATCCACATAGTGCACAATATGTAGACTGCACAAAGTGATGAAGTTTTATTTTATTTTTTTTTTTAACAACCCCGTATGGAGCCCCTTTAAAGAGAAGAAATAAAAAAAACTCTGTTTCGCCTTTTATCCTTTTAACCTTATAACTTGAATTGGACATCACTTCTTTTCCTTTTCGAAGAAGTATTATGCGCACCTAGGGTCGATGGATGGCATTTTTTTTGCTCAAATAGGGAGCCCCCACTTTGTTGGGCTACTTTGTCCCTCTTAAATATGTGGACCCTGCTCCATGTGAAGCCGTCGAGGCAATCGCTTAAGCAGGCACTGAGTCGTTCGAGGGGCACACGCTGTTGCTCCCCATTCTGAGGCCAAACCGATTCGCGCGCATTTTACGCTGTTTAAAGATTACAGGACAGTCCCAATATGGACAGCTTTCCTTCTCCCTTAAAAGAGCACACCACAGAGCTGCCCAGCAGAGAGAAGTGCATCTGGTTCATCCATCCGTGCACTCATCATGTTCACTCCACTCTGCGCGTCTGCTCGTCGAGACAGGTTGCATTGCCACACATTGTCAGCATGCTTTGATTTGCCATACCTGTCGTTTTTCTTACCTTCTTTTCCTCCTGAATGGCAAGTTTCTTTTCGTGGTTAGTTAATTCTTACTGGGTTAATCTTCTCCAGCGTCAGCAAAATAGTGCATATGAGCTGGGAAAAACACATGCCAATGCACATGGAATGTGTGAGCATGCCAACATGCGACCATCCTCCTAGGGGTGCATTTTTTTTTTCATTTTTCCCTTTTCTTGCTTATCCCTTCGAACTGATAAAGGAGCGGGTCTTTGCAGCACCAAGTTGCACAACGCACATTGAGTGAAAATAACTGGTCACATGGGTACGGAGGTACTCCTACATGCAGGCCCATTTGCAGGGTACATGCCATTTTGTAGGACGGTGCCCACGGCTAGAGATATTGTCACACATGGAAGTAGGTACCGTACGATAGATCATTACTCTCGTGAAGGCAGTTATTCCGCTTCTTTTTTTTTTCTTTTGTGGTATTGGAAGTTGCACACCCATGCGCAACATGTCCTCGTAATTCTACATGTTTCCACGCATTGGTGCATCTCCCCGATTCATCCATGTTGAGAGGATTGCAAGAGCGATTTCACTGCCACCAGTGGCAAGCTCTTGGGGCATCTTCTTTTCACGCCAATCATTCAGAAATTTTTATTCCCTCTCATTGGTGTTTTTTCACTGCACGGGTTTCTTCCCATGCGGAAGGAAAAACAGGCAGGAAAAAAACAGATCAGAAATGAAGCAGAATGGAGCAGAATAACATGTGCTCTCTCGCCACCAATGCGCAGGGATGCATGCGTGCATTTTAATATACCCCCCACGTGCACATGTGCCTACAGGTAGCATACAGCCCTATGTGTATGTATGTGTGTGTGTGCAGGTGCCACAGCAAATGTAACCACTCACTCATCGGTCACCACTTCATGTTGGTGTAGAATATGCTCCGCCTTCTTTGTGGAGCACTTGGCGGGTTGAAGTTAAAAAAGGCAGGTGGCAAAACGACAGTGGAAGGAAATGCTGAAAAAAAAAAAAAAAAAAGAAGTATCCCAACTGTAAGAAGCTAGAAGAAACAAATCATGCAGCAAAAATACACACACAAATTACAGATTGTAGATTAAAAAAAATATGAACAGGCAATAAAAAAAAAAGACAGCTAAAATCTCTAACTTTTGGCTTTATTTGGCGTGTTAAAAAAAAAAAATATATGAACAGGCAATACGAAAAAGTAACGAGCTGCAGCACGGGAAAGCAATGCCCGCGAATGCGAAGGGAGCGGTAAATAATTCTACGCCGTACGGAGAAGGAAACATAGAAAATGGAACATAGAAAATGGAACATAGAAAATGGAACATAGGAAGTGAAACATAGAAAGTGGAACGGCTGAACGGGTGGAAACGCGTGAACGCATCAACGGAAAGAAGCAAAAAAAAAAAAAAAAGAAGCAAAAGAAGCAAAAGAAACAAAAGAAACAAAAAAAACTAAATGGGCAAAACGGACAAAACGAACAAAAGGGACGAACCAGACAAATCAGACAAAACGTCAAAACGGACAAAACAGACAGATAAAGAAACAGAAAAACGCGCGTGAAGATAACACAAAGGGACGCGAAGTGAAAAAAAAAAAAAAAATTCAACACACATATCAATTGTTCATGTGTATCCATCCATTTTTAGCTTGCGTGCTTTTGCATGACACAAAAAATTATTTCATTTTATTTTATTCTTTTTTTCCCTTCTTTTTCCTTCCTTTTTTTCTTTTTCTTTTTTTTCTTCTTTTATTCTTTTCTTCCTTTCTGCCTTTTCTTGTAAATTTTATTTTTTCGTTTTTAAAGACTAGCACATCCGCAGTGTTCCCGAGAGTTCCGCGCACGTCCGTATGCATACGCATGCACTGGCACACGCGTACACGTAAGTGAAGGCGCAGTGGACATCGCCAGTGTATTCGCGAGCGTATTTGCGAGCGTATTTGCGGGCGCATCGTGGGGACGCATTCGCCTGTGTACACTTCGCATGTGTATGCTTCACACGTGCACGATTTGGATATGTACGCTTTCCCAGTGTCCACCTCGCATATGTTCACATTTCCATACGTTCATTTCCATGTGCACACTCGCCCCCCATCGCGCATCCACTCACCCCCGCGAACCTCCCCCCCATTCATACACTCCAGTGAATTAGAAAATCATTGTACAGCCAAAGGCCACCGCATGCGCAGAGCGTGTCCAGAAGCGGAAGAGAACACGATTTTATTTTGTTGTATGTTCGTGAGTGCACCATTGTGAAACGGTAGGCATCGCGAGAAGGAGCAAAAGGAAGAGCAAAGTGTGTCCAAAGGATGTCCAAAGGATATCCAAGAGATATCCAAAAGACATTCAAAAGACTTCCAAAAAAGAAAAAAAAACGCGAAAGCGAAAAGGGTGACCGTCTCAACGTGTGACCCATCCCAGTGCACATCGGCAACAACACACGGAATTATCCTCTCCCACTGTAGACATTGGCAACTAACTATTTTAGTCGAACCCCGCCAAAAGGGACTAAACCGTGGAAGGACGAGACAAAGTGGAGCAGCAGAGAAGCGCGAAACTGAAGCGAACAGACAGGCGAAACGAAGCAGGAAGTGTAAATCGGCCTTGCCTCGCCGCGCATACACACATAGTCATAAACACAAACATAGATTTAGACAAACACGCATATTGTTTCATCCCCCCCGAGAAGCGCCAAAATGGAAAAGCTGCAGCTGCCAGAATGGAACGATATCGAAAGATATTTTAAAGACCCCGAGTTGATCACGGCGGAACTCCTGTTTGTAGGTCTAACCCTCTGCAACGTATTCGTTATGTACCGCCTATTCCTAGATGTGATTCCTTTCCCCATATTTGTAACTTGGTGGCAGTTGGCGCAGGGGTTGCTGGTTGCTTATGTATGTGGAGAGTTAGGAAAAGAGTTCCCCAAATTTGCCTATTTTCCAAAAGTCGAAATAAATCAGAATATGCTCAAGGTATTGTTTGTCCCCTCCATTTTCTATTGTCTCATGTTAGTTTTGTCTAATTATTTGCTATATAAGACCCCTTGTATAGCGTCCTATCCAGTGCTTGTTAGTTTCACCGTAGTGTTTCATCACCTCACTCGTTTTGTTGGATGCGGAGAGGAGTACATGCCTCTTAGGTGGAAATCCATAGTGTTCCTCCTCGCCGCTTTTGTAATTGGTTGTCTTGATTCGAAGACAACAGGGAAAGGAGTAATCATATGGGCTCTCCTATATGCACTATTTTCAGCCATCTTCCGAGCAGGCTTCATGCAGAAAATAATGCACCTTGTGGATGGCAAAGGGAATACATTACACAATAATCAGCACCTGTTAGGGGTTTTACTCCTACCTATACTGATTGTCCTTTCTGGAGAATGGACCGTTTTTGGACACATGCCGTATAACATCATGTCCTTGCACACATGGCAGATGTGGGGTTGCTTAATAACTGTTGGTGCCTTGCCATTTATAAAAAATGTCATTTCTAACAGACTGGTTAGAAGAACAGGACAGGGACCATGGAGATTTCTAGAAATAATATCCATCGTGTTAGTCTTCCTTATCGGGATGACTTACAGTGCACCTTCCTTTTTAGGATACATTGCCATACTGTGTGTTATTATTGGCCGTTCTTTGGGTGCCTTTGATGTCATGCTGAATGCATCCGATTATATGATGGCAGAAGACGATAGGAAGAGGAAAACGTCCAAAGCGAACTATGCCAAGAGCAGACAAGGGACTCAGGCTTCCAAACCGTTTCTGCAATCTGGTGAGAACGAAGACGATGAGGATGAAAGCTCCTTCAGCTCAAATGATAGTAGAAGTTACCAGGGGTCTCAGGACTACGAGGATAAGGACAGCGTGAATAGTAGCTCTCAACAGTATAGCGTCCAGAAGGGGACCAGCAGAATGGATAGCTCTTCCAATCAAACCAGCCACGCGGGCATTTCCGGAGACGAGAGCAGACAGGGCAGCAGAATGAGTGACCCCAAGTCCATTGGGCGCAGCGCCACTTTCCACTCCAAGTCGAAGTTGTCCCGAAACTACTCCTCCAAGAAGCAGGAGATCGTCGACTCACAGGCCTAGGCTTGTGTAGCGGCAGCGTAGAGCGGCGTAGCGAATCGTAGCGAAGCGGTGTTTGTCCATCAGCATGGCATCGATAATGAAGCGGTGTTTCTCCACCAGCATAGCATCTCTAACGCAGCGATGAGTCTGCACCAGTGATGCGCCCCTCAGATTTGCCGTGGTGCGTTCCCCCCCGTTTGCGTTTCCCATTTGGAACCGCCACCTCTGTTGATGCGTACGTGCAGATAGAAACATAAGTATAAGTATGCGTCTAAGTATTAGCATTAGTATCCCTATGAGTATGTACGCCCACACATACCGACCTACGCGTGTATGTATGCCCCCCGTTTAAACACACATGTGTAGTCCGTCAAGAATGCATTTGCCTTCCTCCCTCTCCTTTTCCCTCTTTTGCTCTCCCCCCTTTTTTTTTCTTTTTTTTTTCCGCCATTGCTATGATTGATTCGCCTTTTTTTTGTTAAATTTTTCGATTCATAAAAAAAGAAAAAAAAAGGAAAAATAACATCAGACCCCCCTCCGCATGGGTATCTGTCGGACCAGGGTTCACCTCTCGGTGAGGAATTGTCACGTCAAAGGGGAAATGGTTCACCGCAGTTTTGGGGAAGTCAAATGAGGCTGTTTTGAGGCAGCATTACGCTGATCGTGGGCGCCGGGGAGATGGGCAGGTTGTCCCTGTGATGAGAGGAGGGAAACTGTACGGTCAGCTCACCAGAACAGTTCTTTTCCCAGAAGGTGTGTCGAGTAGTGGACATTGGTGGACAACACGTTGGAGGGGTATCCAATCGGGAATGCAGCCCTGAGATGTGAACCCAGACATATTCAGAGAATGTCCAACGGTGTGAACAATGTAATGCAGGTAAGAGAGCACGGAGTGAGGTTAGCTGCACCGAGACATGTCAAGCTCTAACGTGATGTCTGGCAAAACATCCCGTTTATGTGCCTGAACATTTGCTAATTTTATTTTAGGAGGTTAAAATGCGCGTCGAAATGGCGAACTTGCAAAATGGAGAAATTTCAAAATGGCAAAAATGGCGAAATTGACTTCACCCATGTGGGTGGCCATCCCTCGTTGGATATCGAAGAATTGGGAAGGGTCCCTCTGCGGGTCGATCTGCACAAATTCGGGAGGATCACCCCCATCCCATCCTCTCCTTTCGCTTTCGCGTTGACGCTCACAGTTAGGGTAGACGAGATGTGCATCTCTGCAGAGTATATACTACATAAGGGTGCAGTTATTGGGGCCCACGCGGCAAAAAAGAGGTGCAAAATAGAGGAGGTGAACCTGTTGCGGTCAACTCCCCGCGGTGGACGTCACGCATAAGCAGCGATACACCAGCGGCCTTACAAATTTCTGAATAGGCTGCTTATATTTATGTCCCCCTTGGATGCGAAACTGTCTGACGCGCCGAAGAAGCCAGACGTGTCCTTTCCATAGCCGCCGATGTTGTTCCTAAAAAAGGGAACACTTCCGCTGTGGCTCTTATGCAAGGTTGTATTCCTCTGGGATGTTATATTTGGAAAGAGGACCTCCATGATGCTTTCATAGGGCCCACTCTTCTTCGTCTGAGTGGCTGCTCCGGCTTGCGATCGTCCTGGGAAGGCGCCGTGCAGGTTCTGCGGGAAGTCTGAGACGAGGGGGGATGAATACAAAATGGGATGCATGTAATTCCTCGGGAAGGCACCGAAGTGTTGATGCGGTGGAAAATTTGGACGATGAAACGTCTCGACACTGAAACATCTCAAGGGTGAGACGTTTGGACATTACTGTCGGAGATGACTTTGGCGAGGCTGCCGGCTGAAAATTCGTCCAAGCGGTTTTGCTGCCAAAGGAGGTGGGGGGTATTCAAATAAGTACGCACAGTGTTAGCCGACGTGTTAGCTGGCGTGCTGGCTGACATGTTATCCGAAGTGTGATCCGATGTGACGGTGCGTCCGGAGCCACCGCACCGTATCTCTGTGTGTAGAATACCTCCCCGTCGACCTCCATGCTGGGAATGTACTTGGTGTCGAACCCCTCTCCCACGACGAGCACATTGGGCATGCTGCAAATCATCCTGCCAATTTCATTATATTTGCAAATACGCATGAGGGGTCGCAACTCGCATTTGTAGAGTTTATACCACTCATTAGTTAGATGTATGAATTTGATCCCATAGATCCCATGTTGAGACAGAAGAAACAGCGTCTTGGCGGCTTGTTCCTTTTCAAATAAGCTCTGTCTATCTGTTATGAAATCTTCATATGTTAAATCGGAGGAGTAGTATATCGGGCCACACATCTGCTTGTTCATTTCATACTCGCTGAGGATCACTCCACTTTTCTTGTATGCTAGGTGCAACGAGTTTTGATTTTTGCAGACATGGATCACCAGATTGTAGAGAAGCTTGTGCAGGTGGTAGCGTAGCACCTCCAGGTTGGTCTGCTCTCCGCTGCTCTGCAGGAATGGAACGCCCTGAAGAAAGGGACCTCCTTCTTCGCTCCTGACAAATGAACCTCCCCCATTTGGGAGGAACGGCGTCGAATTTCTGTCCCCACTTGCGTGCCCGAAAATCTTGTTGCTGTAGTTTATGTAACTGCCCATGCGGTTAATGCTGCGGTTTCTCCTGGATTGGCTCATAATTTTTTCATAGCTCTTGCTGACGGTCGAGAGGGGGGGCTTGAGGTGGTCCAGTCCCAGCACCTTCATCATCTTTGAGCAGTCCCCTCTGGCGAATTCCATGGCGACGTCCTGTCGGGTGGGGGGAGAAAAGGGCGGCATATAGGAAGCCACATGTCTCGAGGACACGAGCTTGCCAATTAGCCACCGCTATCAGGAGCAGAGACACCAATATGGGCGCTATTGCTTCTGACACCACTATGGCTGCTAACACAGCTAACCCACCTTATACGTGGCGTCCTTGAAGTAGTGCGAACCACTCATCGGAGTGAACTTGCACCGGGCGAAGGTCTTCAAACTAGAAAGCTCCTCGGAAGAAAAATTGTCATAAAAATATTGAGCCGTGTCTAGGGTAAAGACCTGTATGCTCCTACTACACCCGGCAATAACAAGGTTCGGGATTTCCTCCAGAAGTCTCCTCAGCTTCTTTGCCTTGTAGTGGTTTAGGTAAAAGCTCAAAGGGTATTGCTCCGAGTAGGCCTTATTCCATTCACTCTTAATGGAGGAAACAAACACGCCGATGAAGTTTTGAGATGCTTCTTCACCTGTGCCTTTCTCAAGCGAACTCGATAGTTGGTCCTTCGAATACTCTCCAGATGGCGTCTTCTCGGATATGCTCTGCTTCGCCGTCTCTTGTGTGGTGATCATTTCATGCACAAAATCGGATGTGTCCATGGTTGAGTTGTTTCGTTGCTCTTCTCCTTTGTCATCCCCCGGGTGGGCCTCATTAGGCTGTTCCTTTGAGCTGTTACACTCCTTGGAGGCTATTCCCTCCTTTGTGCTGCTACCCTCCTTTGCACCGTCACCATCCACCTCTACCTTATCAGCACACACTTGTTCCCTGCTCACCTCCACTTCATCCCTTCCGAAGTCCTCATTTTCGTATGTCCTGCTACCACCTGCAGGTTTGGGGTGGTGGAAAAAGTGAGAATAGGCAGAGCGAGAGGAAGAGTATAGTGCACCACGTGGCTGAAGCGAAATCGTTTCACATGTTAGTACAGATGAATAATCATGCTGCCAATCTGTTGACATCATGTAAGGGGGCTTCCTCTTCGCTACGGCACACCGAGACAGGGGGGGAAGACTCACACTGGTGCAGGAGTTCCTCCTTTATTTTAACGATGTCCTCCCATTCCATCTTCTGCCTCTCCGTGAGGACAACTACCAGCTGGTACAGCAGAATGTGTAGTTGTGTCTTGGTGAGCATTTTGATGAAGGGGTGTTGACTCGACTGTCGACTCGGGTGTTGACTGAGGTTATGACTCCCGTTTGAGTGCTGCTTCAAATGCTTCTTTGAAGGCTGGTTGTGGGGAGAGATGCCTACCCAGTCGCTCGAGTACATGCACGGGTTGCCGTGGCTGCTAAACTTGCACATTAAATTGGCGCAAGGGTCCTGGGTAAAGCTCCCGTTGATTTGGAGGGCCGACTCGCTGTCGCCATTGCCGTCACCGGGCACGTTGTTGTCGAGTAGGCCATGAAGCAGGCTGTCACCGCTTCGAAGGATACTCCCGCCGCTTCTAAGTACACTTCCACCGCTAAGACCCTTCCAGAGGCGCTCATGCGACTTGGAAGTCGGCAACGCAAAATTGCCATTGGAATGAAATTTTTTCCTCTTAGCGTCGTTCTTCCCAGTGAGAACACTCCCCAGCTGTACATTGCTAAGGGATCCTCTGTCCCTTCTGTTCAGTGCACTAAGGATACTATTGTCTCCCCCGTTAAATGAATTCGACCTAAAATCCTGATCATTGAAATGGGTCGAGACGGAGACTTTTTTGCTACCCATTTTGGAAGGTGCATTAACTTTGAACTCATTGCTCGGTAACGACCTTATCGATTTCAGATCCGGAATCTTATGACTATAAGTTAGTGGAGTAATTCTAAGTTTCACATCATTAGGAAGGGACATTATTTGTATCTCTTGGATCTCTTCTAGGAATGCTTGAAGTTTATCGATTCCACATCTGGTCTGCAAAATTTTTAAATTGAAAGACGACCCGAAGAGCTTCTTCACCTCCTGCTGCAGCTTCGTCAAGGAGACACTACCATTCGCTGGTGTTTCTTCCTCCGTCAACTGAGAATTGTAGTTGGTGCATTTCGCGATGGTGCCTAGAATGACTTTTAGAAAAAATTGTTTGTCTTCGCTCATCTTTGGCGTTTTATATTTTATGATTAGATTCTTTTCTGAGTCGTGATTTGCTTGTTTTGGTTCATTTGGGGTGGAGTCCCTGTCATGTGGCTCCTCGCATTCTTCCGCCGATTTGTCTGCCGATTTGTCTGCCGATTTGTCTGCCGATTTGCCTGCCGATTTGTCTGCCGATTTGTCTGCCGCAATTTCCACCGCTCCTCCAACCTCCTCGCAAATCAAGCAGTGGTCCAGGCTCCTGACCATATTGTAAATGTTGCTAAACCCCGCGTGCCTCAAATTAAGCAGGGCGTTGTACTTCTTGCAGTATTCCCCCGAAATTTTCTCCATCTTGATTCCCTGGTACCCGAAGGATTTTATAAGCATTACGAGATTCTTTGTTGTGTGTCTGAGGAAGGGGAGTTGAGGTGAAGGAGCAGTTATTGTGTGTTCGCTCCAGATTTCCCGATCGTCGAGCGATGAAACGATTCGGAAGCAGTCCCTAAACGCTTCGATAACACTTCGATCACGCTCCGGCATTCCACTCACTGCTGCATCTTCTGATACACATAGAGCGAGTTCTGCGGCTTGAATTCCGGGGCCACTGGGTTCAGTTTGCTCCTGAGCGAACATAGGGGTGCAGAAGCAGAGTGTAGAAGCTAAGTGCCCCTTCACGTGCCGAAGCAGCGCGCTGTGTCAATGAAGCATTTTGAGCGCTCATTACTCATATTTTTGGATAGGCTGTCCATCTCGTTTTTCATCAATTTCGCACTTCAGACTTTCTATGTACTCTACGTCCGAGAGGTTGTTTCGTTCTGTGTGTGTAGGGGATTAGAAAAGTAGGAGGAGGGGTAGTTTACAAGATGGTGACAAGAACAAGGGGCTTAGTTGCAACCATTACACAACTTTTCTCCCTTGTGTTAAAGCAACTTCCCCTCCTCACCCATCAAATGTATACTTATTTTTTTTTCCGATGTAGCGCATGTCTTTCCCAATTCTTCCTTTCCCTTTGAGTCTGTTCGGCATACCTAAAGAGGAAAAAAGACGCATGAGTTTTTTTTTTCTTTTTTCTTGAGCATACATATGCAGGTTGAACAGACGAACGCACGACATAAAGAGGTGGCGTCCTAAAATGTAAATTTGTGTGTGTAAATTTTTGCACATGGTGGGGATAGTGAGGAATATACTTTTTACTTACTTCCTTTCCTGCGTCTTCATTTCCTCTGGTGGACTTTGCAGCACTATCTTCTGCCTTGCTGCGAAGGAATGGAAGCAGCCGTTGGTGTTTTTTCAGGTGCTACCAACAGAGAAGTGACGAAAACGGGACGTCCTGGAATTGTTAACCACCCTTTCGGTGCGTTTCCCCACTAATCTGTTTTTTGTTTTTTTTCTTTTCTTTTTTTTTTTTTTATGTTTCCTTTTTTTTTTACCTTCCCTCTTTGGATGTCTCACAGTTCTCACTTCGCCTGCTCAGAACTGTTCCCGTTTTCCTTTTTTTTAAAACATCCGAATCTTGGTTAGCAGACAATGAATCGTCTTGGACCTTTTCACTCAAGCTACTCACGTCCGCTCTTTGTACATCCTCTCTCGATTTGTCCAAGTTTTTCTGGTCAGACTCCTCCTGTAGAACACTTTCCGCTTCCGTAGTGCCCAAGAAGCTCATTAGGCCCGACTTGGCATCATTTATTTTGGTCTTTACGTTGTCCTGCATCTTTCTTTTGGATGAGGAGCGAAATTGAGTTTTGTGAGTGGTGGTTGCCACGTTTGTCACGTTTTCCAAACTTAAAGTGTGTCTTTTTTTTCTTTTTTTTTCGTATTATTTTCGTATTTTTGAGTTCTTTTTTTTTTTTCCCATTTCACCTTCACAGGTCAGGTAAAAATTCCAATTAGCTAGCTACCAACGTTGCAGATAAAAAAGTGTGGCGCGATCCCCTCTGCCTCTCTTGAGCGAGGCCGTTGTGGCATCAAGGGGAGTGGAGTGTTTTAAATGTGAGGTACACAGATTTGAAGCTAGTCGCACGTTTTCCTGTTTTTTATTTTTGTATTATTTATTCTTTGGTTTTTTGTTAAATAGTCTGTAGAATCGTGCGCTTCGCCGACCTGAAACATAGAGCATGTTGGACGGGTGATAGGCACGTACGGGTAGGCGAATGGAGGTACAGGTACAGGAACACACGACATGTCCTCTGTAGTGCTAGTTTACTCGCTGATTCTCTCACCTATGTGCAAATAGAGTGTCAGCGTCGGTGATGTGGTGGGAAAGGGGACTCACCAAAGCGGGTTTAGCTATGTGCCTCCTTGAGGACTGGGACTGTGTAGATTGTTCGCTTAAGCGTATCGCATAAAAGCATGGTCCGGAAGTTTTCTTTTTTGCAAGTTTGCTTTTCTGCAGGTTTGCTCTTTTCCAAGTTCGCTTTCTTGCGAGTGTGTTTTGCGGGGTTGCTTCACCAGTTTGTTTTACAATATCTTTTTTTTTTTTTTAATGACTTTTTCCACTGACGCAGGCCTACACACATGCGTTAGTCGAAGTCCAAATTGAGCCAAAAAAAAAAAAAAAAAAAAAAAAAGACCAGATATGTTTTATATGACTTGATCTGTATTTAAAAAAAAAAAAAAAAAAAAAAATTGGTCAAATGGGACGTCAGGAAAAGTCGGAAAAAAAAATAAAAAACGAGTACCGAGAAGCACCACGAAATGGTGAACTGAGGAGCGTGGCGGTGAAAACGCGAAATGTAGAATGCCGAGGTAATCTCTCAACGTGCATACAATGATTTATATGGATGATTATTCATAGTAGGGACATACACCCTATTTATGAGTCTCGCCATTTACTAACTGGTGATATTTCCCCGTCTGCGTATGGACACATGTGGAGGACTGCTGAGCAGAGCCGAGCGCACTGAACGAACCAATTTTGAGCCAAACTGGTTGATACCTACCGTGCAAACATGTGTGCAGCGTTGCAGTGAGGAAAAAGGGAAAACAATTACGGACAAACATATGACTCTTTTATTTTTGTTCATTCTGATTAAAAAGTCGCTTCGCTTAATGGTTAATCTTTCCTTCCGATGTTGTTGTCGCGTTTGTACGTGTGTGCGGGTGAAGATGGACACGGCCGCCTCCACAAACCTGGGCAACCTGACAATCGCACCAACTCATGAACGTCTCACAAAGCGGGGTGGCCAACTCGGGGACCTCGTCTACCTTTCTTCATTCGCAAAAAGGCACCATCAAAGTGTGGGGGGGGAATGGGAATTCTCATTTTAAAGAGTGCGACAGGGTCTATGGTCACCACGAAATGGAAGAAAAAAGAAAAAAAAAAAAAGCTAAAGAAGATAAAAAAAAAGGAGAATCTAAAGGAGATAAAAGAAAAGAATAAATAATATAGAAAGAGCTAAATAAAGCAAAACCGCATTTACAAACCACTTAGCTACTCACTTGTGCGATCCCTTCCAGATCCTCAACTAGACCGAGGGATCCATGCCGATAAGCATTCACGGAGTATGCCTATTAATGTGCTCTGCCTAGGCCTATCAATCCCCCGTGATTTCCCTCTCTCCGTCACCATTTGGCCTCTACAATGTGGACATGAGTACGTGTGGACATGAGTACGTGTGGACTTGATTGTTTTTTTTTTTTTTTTTTTCTTCACCCGTCCGCGGTTCCCCCATTTTGCACTCCTTTCGTACACACACCTGCTGGCGTAGTGCAGGACTGGGTAAATTGAATTGAGCTGATTTGAGTCGAGCATCAATGGAGCGGATGGAACTCGCCCCATTTTAAATCCCGCATCGCATTTTTGAAAGGGGAACGCGCACAATTGCAGACTACAAATGGGTAACAGCGGATGGGAGAAGAGGCGTACGGGACGGCTCTCACCTTAGCGCGGATTACTTGCCGCCTTGGGTAATTCTCCCTTCCGTTGTTGTCACGGTTTGCTTCCTCAGTGCGGAGTGCAGGATTCACGCACAAGAAGGTGTGGACGTGCCTCTACGCGGTCTAGCAAACTGGTCACCCTTTTGTCGAGACGCACGGTTTTTTTTTCACTCCGGAGAGGCAGCGCGCCGGATCAAGGCGTTTGGCCCAGCGGTTTGGCCCATCGCTTTACCCCAGCAGCGTTTCTTCCCATTTGGGTTCACTTCATCACCATAGGGATTCCAAAGCGGCTCTATTGCGTAGAGTACGTGTGTGTCAAGTTGTGACCTCCACATCGCTATCCCTATCCCACTGTATATTGTCCACCATGGAGGAGGCAGGGGTGCCGGTGAAGAGGACCAAATCTCTGCGCCGGACTCCCTTATCGGCGCGCACCAAAAGCACCTACGAAAGCGTAATCAGGTGTATGAAGGAAAACAAAAATGACCAAAAAAAAATACGATACTCGCTATTCCTAAAGGCGTATGAAAATGCAGAGCTGATTCAAATGGAAAGACAAGACGAGCAAGAAAAGTTAAAGTTAAAACTGAACGAATGGAACAAATGGAACACGTGCATCGATATGAAGGATGCCAAAGAGAAGCAGAGATTGAAGCTGCTAAACATGCTAAAAAATTACCAAATAAAATACAAAGCATACTCAAATTTGAAGGTGTTATGTGATTACTCAATATATTTTGAGAAACCATCAGTTGGGGACGCCATAAAACAGTGTCAAGCTCCTTTAGACGATCCACACCGAGACAACTTCTTCTACCACCTTGTCAGCATCGGGGTGTCCTACAATGATATAATACTCATGTCAAGTATCTTCGAAAACATAGAACATCTGAAGAATTGCAATATCTATATGTTGCCATGGATTTATAGGAAGCTCAATGAATTTCATAACTTCGACATGACGACTTTTCTCATTCATTGTGTTGCGTACTCTCTGTCTACTTTGCCCTTCTCATTAGGTTTGTTTCTTCACTATAGAACCATGGCGATTGTTTTTCCTCTCTTTTTTACGTACATGGTTTTGTCACTTCCTTTTTTGCTACAAGAAATAAACTGCGGTCGGTTTGTCTTGGATGGCTCCATGTCTTTCTTTGTCTCCTTCGATTACTACCATGTCCCCATCGGAATCATCCTCATCATTTCGTACATACTCTCCATTATAAACTGTGTCGATATTATATGCTTGGAAATCATCTATTTTTCCTTTTTCCTCACTCCGAATAACCCCTGGGTTTACCGGAACGTGGATACCAAAATATGCTCCAAGTTCAACGGCAGCCGCAGCATTTGTGACTTCGCCCGGAATATCTGCTACTACAACGAAGCCATTTCTGTGTGTGAGCTCAACCGGATTAAGCTGGTGCGTGTGGGGCAGCGCCAACGCGAAGCGGACAGAAGCGCGACAGTGCTTGAAATGGCTGGAAGATGCTTCATACCGCCTGAAACGGCTTCTAACGCCTTCAAACCGTTTCTAACCCCTTCCATCCACTTCAAACCGACTTGTTCATCCCCACGCAACTTCCCCCCCCCCAGGGCACCAAAATCTACGACACGCTTCTGAACAAATACGCCGAACCCAAGAGCGAGAAGTTCACACCCACCACAGTGCTCCTCTCCTTCCTGCTCCTCATTCTTTACAACGGCTTCTCCAAGTACAAGACTTCGCACAAGGTCCTGAAGATCCACCTGTCCCTCCTCATCCTGGTGTTCGTCGCCTTCATAGTTACGATGCGTGATTTCACGCTGCTGAAGTTCTTCCTTCGCGACTTCAGCTGGGACCGAGTTAGGGGCGTTCTCCTCGACCACGAGGTCTGGATTGCCTGCATGATGCACTGCACCATCACCATGTCGATACACTCCGGCATGTACTTCTACACCTCCAAGGGGCTCAGGTGGGTGTGTGCAGGGGAGGTGCGGGAAAGAGGGGCACCCAAGCGAATCAACTTCGCTTTGCGGCTTCACTTTTCCAATTCTCCTCTTTGCCGCTTCTCTCTTCTGATTCTCCTATGTTCCGATTCTCCTATTTTCCGCTTCTCCCTCCCGCAGGCTCGGTATCAACGTCATCTCGTGCACCTACCTCATCGTGCTGTGCTGCTTCCTCCTGGACATGCTTCTCTTCGTAACCTTCTCCAACATCATCGGCATGCACATAAAGGACATCGAGAAGAGTTACTCCTACTTAGTCAATCTGGTGAAGAGAAACGTGTTCTACATTTTAATTCCCGTGGGGAATAACTTTTACTCCAAGTTTTCCTTCTTCCTTGGGATCAACATATCGATAATCTTCTTAACATTCATGTTGCTAGCCGCATCGAAGAGGATAGAGATCCTGTTTCTCTCCTTTGACGATATACATTTCTTCAAGCCAAAGAAGACATGGTTGGACGTCAGGTGGGTGTTCCTATTTCTACTTTACTATCTCTACAGCTCCATTGACATAACTTTCCTGGATCTCTTCTTCACAGAGATGTCTCAAATTATTACCCTACTGATTATATTCTACATTAACTTTAACTTCTTCTGGGTACGTGGATTTAAGAAGACAATGGAGAAGTTCGGCAAGTATCCTATCCTATGCCAAGTTATTCTGACTGCATTAAATCAGTTTTTCTTTTTCTATTTTGAAATTATTTTTCGTCTTCCCAACCGAGTCACTCTCTACTTGCTGCGACAAGTTGTTAACATTTGTATCATTCCCCTCGTCTCGGTGCTGCTATCCAGGTGCACCTGGTTCGGGAGGGCTATGGAGCCGCGGGGAGGCGCCGTAAGGCAGATTCTGGTGAGTCAGCCACTTGGGAGGACTTTCGCGGACTTGGGCAGACTACCGCGCTGGTTTGTGAAAGTTTACTTCATCCTTCCTCCATGTCCCTTTCCACTCTTTATCCACCCTCCATCCACCCTGCTTCTTTCCCCCGCAGAGGGACGCCTACGAGCTCGCCACCGAGTGCACCAACAAGTCCAAGAACATCCAGCTCGAATTCAGCCAGACGTCCAAGAGCGCCAAGTGGTTCAACCTCTACATCGTCCTTTTCTGCAAATATCTGGGGATCGACCTAGTGTTTATGTGCTTTGTGCATGTGGGAAGTAGCATTTTTTCCATAAAACAGAATTTTTTTAAAAAGAAAAATGTCCACTTGCAGACGGATCCCTACCTACTGTTTTTTCTCCTCTTCCTCTGCTACGTTTACATTGCCTACATCCATCTCCCCCTGGTGCAGATGATTAAGAGGCGCAAAATTATACGAGTTAACAACTTTAACGTCCTCGACTACTCCATATGCTTCGAGGAGCCCAAGCGGCCGCGGCGGGGTCTCCTCTTTGATGAGTTTAAGCGGGAGTGAGCCGCTCACCGGGGGGGCCTCGAAAAGTCAGCTTCATAGCGGCGGTGCGGACGCGTCTCCCGCGCTAAGACTCTCCATTCTTAATTCAATTTAGTCTGGTTTAGTTTAGTTTAATTTAATTTCTTTTATTTATTTATTTATTTACTTTTTTTTGGTAACACAAACGTAACGAACGGGGGCACAAAAATTAAAGACGCGAAAAAAAAAAAAAAAGACACAACCTTGCGTGTAACGGAAATGGCGAGGAGTACTGACATGGGGGTGGTAACTTTCCCCAACGCGCCGCCTCCCCCCTGCGGGAGCGCTCCTACAGAATGGCAAACTTATCCATTATCTTTCGAAGTAGGGGGCTGTCGGGGTGTCCCCCCTGACTGCGAGAGTCACCCCCACAGTGGGGTAGAAGTGCCGAGGGCAGTCCTCATCCCCCCCCCTAACTGCAACCGGAACGACATGCTGCTGCGCAGCATGGACCATATTGTTTCGGAAAAAAGGGTTCATTTGGTGGACCATTTGCTCGTTCTTATTTTTCATCCCATCGACGTCGTAAAAGTTGTTGCCACTCCTCATGGCGTATGTGTTCTTGTCCACATACCTAGTGTTCTTCCTTTCGGGGCTTCCCCACAGGTGTTGGGCCTTTCTGCCATCCATCCCATCCCTGCCATGGGTGCTACTCCACTGGGGAAATCCCCTTTGTGGGGTCCCACTTGGGACACATTTCGGGGCCTCTCCCCCTGGGATACACTACCTCTTCTCTTCTGCACTGGGTCAAAATTTCCTGACTTGTTCATATTGTTTGGATCTATATAGGTTGGCTTCTCCCTCCCATAGTAGGCGAGACTCTTCAGGGGCGAGTTGGCAAAGCTTCCTCTACCGCTCTGATTGGTAGAACCTCCCCCACTGATGACGCTCTTCGCGGCATTATTATTCATGATGATCACATTAACTGAACTGAGATCTTTTTGCAGTGAGGAGACGTACTTGTGTGCGTCTTCGTTTTTTAAAATTGCGGTGTAGTTACTATTGAGGTAAACATTTTTGTTTCTCTTTTTCTGAGCGGCTAAACTACTCATTGTGTAGTTATTTTTTTCCATTGGGGGGGTGGATTCATACGTCGCTCCATGCCGTTCGTGGCCTCTTATCCGGGGCTCGTCCATTTGTCCATCCTCATAGAAGGCAGAACCGCCATTCGCTACATTCCTGGTGGGCGCCACCACTTGGCAGCCTTCTGGGGGGGGAGGAGCACGTGATGAAGACGTCCACGCGTGAGGGGTCGGGCCAGCGAAATCGCCGCTGAAAATGCCACCCAAGTCGGCACTAGACGTACCCTCGACACATGCCTGCAGATTCCCCTCGTGCAACGTAGTCGATTTTCCTCCCGTGTGCGCGTTCCCCTGGTAGTTCCGTTCGTACGACTCCCTCATGGGGATAATTCCATCTTCCGCCATTCTGTTGTTACTCGCGCACGTGAGACTGTCCTGGGAAGTCTCCTTCGAGCTGTTAACAAAGGCGGCGTATCGACTCGTGTAATCCTCTTCACCCCGCGACAATTCATTGTTACCTCCCTTAGGAGAGTAGGCCAAACTCTCCTTTTCGTTCTCCCTTTTGTGAAGCTCCTCTTCCAGCACTTGATTAATCTCCAATCTGATTCGAGCAAAATCTCTCAACGAATTCGGGGACAGGGAATTTTTCAGAATTTCATTTCTTAACTTTGCTGCCAAGTCACAATCGAATCCACACTCCCCTAAATCTTTTTTATCGACATTTTCTTTTGCCATGAAACAGTTGTATGCTCTCTCTAGTTTTATCATTTTGGACAGGATGTCTAGTCTTTCTCTTTTCACTTTGTTGATTCCTCTGGTGCGCACTCCTTTGTATCCTTCGATGATTGATTCCATTATTTCTTTGTCCACTGCTTTCGCCAACATGGTTCGCAGTTCTTCCTGTGTAAGAGGCGATGGTGAAGAGGTATGAAATGGCGCACTCGCCAAAAAAGCGGGCATAGAACGCCCCAACACATGCACAAATATACACACGTTCGTATTTGTGCGTGTGTCCTCTTCGCTTGCCTTAATTTTTTGCGCGAATATTTCGTCGTCTCGCTCGAGCTCCTTCAGCTGGTTTAGGTAGGCTGTGGGGGTTGTGACAGTGGAAGGAGTAAGCAGAATGGAGAGAAGTCGACAGAGTGAGCAGAAGTCGGCATAAAGGTGCCACTCTCGGAGGGATAATCATTGGCGCAACTGAGGTAGTTACCTTGTTGCTGCTCTATGTACGGCTTCAACTTGACGAAAAACTCGTCCACGAAGGAAATTGTTTTCTTAAAGCTCTGATTCCACAGGGTCTGTGGCTTGAAGGTGCACTCCTTTTCCTCCTCCTCCTGTTTTCTTCGATGAGGATAAAAGGGGACACAATGGGGTTACCTCCAAAGCGTAGAAATGAAATGCAACGGAGATGAGAAAGAGGGGGGGGGGTGTAGGGAACCATTTCAAAGAAAGGACAAAACTACATATAGGATTGTTCTCTCATCGATACACCAACTTGGGTTTGTTCCCCATTGCTGTCCAGTCAAGTCCAGTCATGTCTTTTTTTTTTTTTTTTCTTTTTTGTGCCCCCTTGGAAGGGTCTCCCTTACTGCTTCTCCAGAGAGGCCTTCAGCTGCTTGTTCATTTCTTCTTTAATTGCCTTTTGCTGTATAAGCTGTGGAAGGGGGGGCGAGAAATAGCCATGGGTGGAGATTCCAATGGTGGAGATTCCAATGGTGGAGATTCCAATGGTGGATCTTCCAAGGGTGAATCAAGCACTACCCATATTAACGTTCCCAGAAGCAGCTATTTTTACAGTGAGGAACGAGGTGAGGAACACATTGGAAGGTACACAAGCTATGGAGTTATAACAACTATTGCGCAATTGAACCCGCTTTGGTAATTTTTTCTGGCCTTACGTTTCTCCATTTTTTGCCCCAAAGGATGTCTTGCTTCTTTTTCCTTTTAAAGGAGGAAAACGTGTAGGGAGGCAGAAATTTGGAGCAGTTATGAAGCGGCCACAACGAGTTATTTTGAAATGAAAACAGGGGTATAATTCACAGATGTTGTCCACACCGCTGATTTGGCGCGGATACACGGCATCGCCTTTCGTGCATCTCTTTTATTATTACTTTAGAGAGTTCATTTTGATGTGCCGTGGGAGGGGATTAGGAGGGGGTGTATCCTTTCTGCGACCTTTTCCAGTTTTATTTTCTAATTCTTGCTGTTGGTCCGTTTACGATGCGCGAAGCGGCAGGTAGGGATCTGATGAGGGAGGCGTCTCAGGTTGTCTATCTTTCTGTCTTTTTTATAACTTCTTTTTGGGAGTTTCTTCCTACCTTTTTTAACTTTTTTTTTTGGGGGGGTTTTCCTGCCTTTTTTTAATTCGAAGCAGGAATGCTGCGAAAGCGGTTGGGGCGACTCCGCCGGGAGTTCAAAATGGGCAACGGTTCGGGGCTAAACCGAAAATTACACACAATGCGTGTTGGCAAATGGGGCAGCGCAATGTGCGTGCAATCACACAGACTAGGGAAAGAGCTCCCTGCGCGGCAGACTCGCACAGACGAGAGTGACTGTGGGTAGGCGCACTCAAGTATCACATCGCAAAACAGTTTGAAAAACGAGGACGCAGAAAGGGGGTTCCGCTTTGTCCGTTTCTACTCAGAAGATGCGTCTCACTTTTCTACGCGTGAGATTTACAAAGAAATGCCCCTAACGTTGCGCGGACTGTGCAACGTAGGTCCAAATAGTTTTTTTCATATACGGTGTACACGTTTCTACCTGCTTGAGGGAGCGTCTTCCTTTTTATTTTGCCAAATTTTCTTTCTTATTCTGAGCAGAAATGTGATTCTGCGTTTTTGTTGGGCATGAAAGGGGCGTCAAATTTAGACGGACAAATTTAGAGGAACAAATTTAGAAGAACAAATGAGGGCAAAAATTTGGACGGACAAACATGAAGGAACAAATTTGGGGTGACAATTTTGGACGGAATTTTTTTGTTACGTCCCCTTTGAAAAAGAGAAAAGGTGAAACGACGTGGCACAGAACGGCACGTAGCGTTCCATCCCGTTGCGTGGCGTGGGTGAGGGCAGGGGCATCGTTCGTGACCCTCCTCCCCAATTTTGCCCGATGGTCATTTGGCCCCTTCGCCGATTATTACTCGTTTCTGTTCCCCCTCAAATATTGAAAAAAAAATAAAAATAAAGAAAAAAAGATAAAACAAAAATAAAGCAAAATAAAGAAAAATAGAGCAAAATAAAAATTAAAAACTCCTTCCGCGCTACAACATACGAGCTTCTGCCATCAAACGGGGGTACCTCCTTGTAGACATGAACATACTTATGTAGATAAGGAAACAAATTTCCACACTTCACACTTGTGTGCATAATTATGCACAGTTAGGGTAAATATTTTCAAAATGAAAAGTTCCCAAAGGGGTGTTTTTTTATGACCTTACTCTGGTTTTAACTTTTCAAATATTAATGCCTGTACAAGTTTTTTCTTTTCTTTTTTTTTTTTTTTTGTGCAGAATGTTAAGGTAAAAAGTGTGCACATATATTTTTCTTCACTGTTTTTTTGTCTAAGTTTCACACACCGTGACTTCTGCACTGTTTTAACTTTTGATCTGGCTTAGTTTAGCTACCCCTTTTTAACTTCCCACTGCACAGTTTCCACATTTTGGGGATAACAACAGGAAAGGAAGACTGCCAAATCGATGCATAATGCTTATGCACAATGGATGTGTGAATGTCTGCGTACCAAAATGTCCGTACTTTTCTTCTTCCTTCGTTGGTATTTCAGCTTCGAGCTAAAATGCAACACTGGAGAATTCGTTTTTGCCTGAACAGGTTTTTTTTTTTTTTTTTTTTTTTTTTCAATTCCCACTTCCTACAGTTGGAATGTTTGTAAGAATGGCTAACCCGTTTAAGAAGCGTACGCACCTTAGTGTGTGCAGGGGGTTGTCTTCCCCCCCTGTGGCAGGATTGGGTTGGAAAGACAACTGCACCTTGGTAATTCTCCTTAGACTTTTCTGTCTCAGGGTTTCTCATGTTGTGTTGTTTTCCTGAGTGAGGCAACCCCTATTTTCACTACTGCTACATTGGGCATGAAAAAAAAGGTGCGTGAAAATGGCAACACGCAAATGTGTATAAGTAGGAGGGGGATAAGAAAAAAAAAAAAACAAGTGCCATAAGCAACCATGCTGTTACGAGTTCTGCGCATACCCATCACACCTTTTACATTTTTTCTCTTAATGGTGAACTTTTTTAAAATTAGCGGTATGTATCACCACGCTGGGAGTAACCCACCGCTGCACAGTTACAGGCACCTTTTCGATTAGGGACGAATTGGCTTGGTTTTAAAAGAGGTTTTTATACCCGTCTACCACTCGTATGTGGGAAGGTAAATATTCACTTTTACTACACATGTACATCGACGTGTTGGTATAGTTGGAACTTAAAAAAAAAAAAGGCATTCGCGAGGTGGCAGCGCGATGTGTCGGCCAAACGGGGAAAAACCGAAGAAGGAGCAATAGCACTGCGAAATGACAAAAAAAGAGGAGCACACGTAGGTGGCACGTACACAACGGAGTAAACGGTTGCAACGGGAAAGATGAGCTGCTTTTCCGCCTGAGACAACCGGGGGGCGTTCGAACGCGGGGCATTTCGGCATTTCCTCCCCCTGCTGCTTCTCCTCGCTGTCACTTCCAGTTGAGGGCCCACTCGTGCAGCTTGTCCACCACGACGGGGAAGAGCGTCTTGACGGAGGCGTTGATGACACTCAAGAAGTAAACCTCCGCAGCCTCGTCGTTTAAATCCAGTCTGAACTTTTCCTGAACCTTCAGCACGCACAACTCGGGGCTCATTTTCATGTCCTTCAATCCAGACTCGCACATGCAGTCGAGAAGGCTAATGATTAACTTGGAGTGGTAGCGCAGGTACTTATACGCCAGACAGCACTTCTTCAAAAACTGTTCATAACCGACACTATGGGCTCCACCCATCGCCTCGATCATTTCTTTGCACAATTTCATGGGGGGAGAAAACGGCTTGGGGTCTTCTCCGAGTATGTACCCAAAGTCAATGTGGAAAAAACATCCATCTCGTGAAACCATGAGGTTGTCTAAATGTCGATCTCCTATTCCAAGTAGGTAGGTGATGACACTATATCCTGCACAACTCGAGATGAAGTTTTCCAAAATGCTGGCATCAAATCCAAGGGGAGACTTCGGATCGGTGCTCTTGTCCATGAAGTACTGCCTAATTTCTCCCTTATAATTCTTTTTAATAGAAGAAATAGATTCTGCGTAGTTAACGAATTCGATAAATCCATCATCTGTGGAGAGGGCAAGAACTTTGTAAAGAGTTAACTTCAGATCGAGTCCATACCGTTTCCATATGTTGTCAATGATGCATATTATCTGTATGACCAGATGGTCTTGTCTCAAGTCATCCCCCGCTTTGTAAATGTACTTTTTAATGGAGAGTTCGTATATCTCGTTGTATTTCTTTACGCGTTGGTTACTGTGTGAGTTACTTTCCGACTCGTGGTGGATCACCACTGCGGAGCTTGGGGTGTCTGCGTTTGGAGAGTCTACGCCTGGAGACTCTGCGCCTGGACACTCTTCACTTTCAGGAGAGACCCATTTTTGCAACCCCACTTTCTCCACCTTTCTACCATTATAAAAGATGTTTTTGCCTTCCCACTTCACTTTCTGGTAGTGACGCTCAAAATCAGATGCACAGTCAAAGGAGCTATACAGAGATTTTAAGAACTTAGAGTTGAACGAATGGTACATGGAATAGTTTTTTTTTTTTTTCACATTTTTTTTCAAATATTTCTGCTCATTGATTATCAAATTGTGGAAATGTTCATGTGCCAATTTAATTTTTTTTCTGACCAGGCAAGCTATTACAATGGGGTAAAGAGAGGATCGCAAAACGTATGACTGTTCAGGTAGAAAGGTCAAGAATTCTATGTCTGGGTCGATGGGGAGAATTAGGGGAGCTTTGATTCGCTTTATCTTCTGCTTCCTGACGAGACTTATGGAATCATCCAGGATGTCAATGTTGTTGTCCTCGTCGCTGTACGTCGCGCTGAGGAAGAAGTCGAAATTTTCATTTAGCTGCAGGAGGTTTGAGAAGAAGGAGGTATCTCTGTTTCTCTCGCTAGGGGCCCCTTTGGAGTCATCTATGTAGTTGACAGTTTTGCTGTCCTCCGTGCTGACGTCCGAGATTGACCTGTGCGCGGCGGGCAGCGCTCCCTCCGCGGTTTGCGCACCCGGGGGCTGGTACTGGAAGCAGTAGGCGTCTGCCCCCGGATCTGCGCGGATGCTCAGCTCGCCGTTTAGGTAGTACACGGAGTTGCGCACGTCACTCTGGTGGTGCATCGAATTGGCGTCCGCGTTAGCGTCAGCGTCGGCATCCTCCTCGCGCGCGTGTTGCGCTACAAGGACGTCTCCTTCTGCTTCTGATTCTGCGTCTGCTTCTGTTTCTGCTTCTTCTGGGGTTGCACCCCGTGGAGAGACAAAGTCGTAGACCTCGTTGTCCGACACGAAGATGTTATTCTTTATGAAGTCTTTAATGACAACGCAGCCGTACTTCTGGCGGTAGCAAAAGAGAAACTGTCTCAGCTTCTTCGTTTTGTTATGGATCCGCTCGGACTTCCTCTTGGCAATTTTAGTGAGGTACAACAACTGGTTCCTAAATCGATTCTGATTTTTCAGGATAGACAAAATCTTTCTCTTCTTTCTCAAGTTTGACGTCATTAATTTGGTAATAAACAGCTTGTGAATATGAATGTAGAGATTCCCTTTGCACTTGTCTTTGGTCTCGCTTAACAAAAACCAGTGGAGAAAAATGGAGAGCTTCTTCGACGTGATACATTTGTTAATTAAGGTCTCCATAAACAGATCGTCAATCGGTTCGTGGTTAAAAACTCGAAGACTTTGCACCAGCTGGAATAGATATAATTTCAGTTGATCCTTTTTCGCCTGAGCAATTATCTGCATCACGTACTTCTTAATTACTGTACGTTGTAGGTACGAATTCAACAATTCAAGACAGTTTTCCAAAGATGGCTTCGACCAGTAGTTTATCAGCTGCGTGGCTTCTTCCTTCTCTTGCTGGTTGTCCCAATTGACGCTCTTGAGGAATTTACCCAAGGCTTCTTCCCTGTTCACTAGCTGCAGGCGGAACTTCCACAGGCACTTTTTCTCCACCTCATTTAGCTTAATCAGTGGCGTGTTCAAAATGGTGTTTATCGTTTTTATTTCCTCCATCGCTGGAGCTGCGTCGGGTGTGCCGTGCCACCCGCCTTCCCCTTTCTGGAGAGAAAAGTCAAACGGGTAATCATCGTATCTGCTTCTGTTCGCCAGGTGGATGTTTTTGCTGATGCGACTTGCGTACCTGTTCATATGCTCGAATATGTCGTTTCGCTTTTTTTCCTTCCCCGGGTTTTTCCCCTGCACTGCTCCCACATCGGGGATTTGGTTCTCTTGGAGTGGTTCTTCCCCCTGCAGAGCTTCGTCCCTCTGTAGTGTGTCTTCTCCCCTTCTGAGCGGTCGCTTCACCCTTTTCAGGAAGGCCCGCGCAATCGAACTGGTGCCCCCGCCCGGCGCGCCATCCACCTCGCCCACGTAGTCGAAGGAATTGAAAAACCAGCTACTTCGATAATGGAGGTCATCGCGACTATCGGGGTAGCAACTGGTCGGACAAGACTCCCCCCGGTTGCTTCTTCCCTCCTGATCGTTCCCACCCCTCTTGTCGCCATAGTACACGCAACGTTTGTTAAAAAAAAAAAAGTGAAAAAAAAGGAACCCGGCGATGTGCCTCTCCTCCTTTTTCTTCCACTGGGCGTACATGTCTGATATTCGCCTTAGGGATGTCGCCACGCGGTTCTGCTTCGGCACGGTCTCCTCAAGGAGCTGACCAGGCTGGCCACATTTATGATGTGTCCTTGCCCCAGCGCAGAACAATTCCCCTTTGTACTGGCGTACCTTCCTCAGCAATCGTTTTACCTGACTGGCCATAATTTTTTTTTTTTTTTTTTTATCCCCAAGGTTGGTCACACGAACGGCAACACAACCTTTGTGCTCTCGTTGTTGTTCCTGCATGGGGGTCTCCCCCCAGGTGAGACCGCCGTCATGTCCCCCTTTCACGTTTTCTTCCGTCACTTCGCGGTGATCCCCCGCTTGGCAGGTTGTCCTCCCCGCAAGGACGTAATTCTCCACTGGGGCGCCCCATCCGAAGAAAATTTTCCTTACTGAACGTACGTAACGTTCGATGCGACTGAACCGTTTCATCGATTGATAGAAGGTGTCACTTCTCTGGCAGCGGCGAGGGTTTCCCGCTGTTATGGGGCATATAAACTGGTCGTGTCGTCTGGTACTACGCGGGGGGGTGGTACCTACCAGTGCGTCGTCTGGGCTGCCCATCCTATCAGCCTCGTACACACTTTTACGAACATGTCGTTCCTTTTTCTCCTCTATTAAGGGGAGCATACTATGATGACTGCCCCTTTCTGAGGAGGCTTCACTTGGAACATTTTCTATAATTCCTCCTCCACAGGGGAACCCCCTCCTGTGCACACTTCCTTTCCTCGAGTGACGGTACAAACATAACAAATCGCGATAAACACAGTTTTCTTTCAAGAAGGAAATTATCCCCTGGTAGGGAATACCCCATATACAACTGTTATCATCGACATGTGCAATTTTCCTCCTCAACGCAAAGGTGATGACGTCCTCAATTTTTTCCTTCCTTCCAAGATGGTACAACTTTCTAATTTGAAGTCCCTGTTTAATGACACCACTGGGGGAAAACACCCTACAGTAGGAGAAAAACTTCCGATCTTTTTTTTTCCTATGTTGGATGAGAAAAAATAAGTAGCTGTCAGGACTCAGCTGGCACAGCCTAATAGGATACTTCACAGTTCGATTGATTGTGTGCAGGTTCCTTCTTATCGCTTTGGCTTTTCTGTTTCTGGGCATCATCGTGGAGTCCTCCTCCCAGGAGTCATCAAAGTGGTCATCACAGTTACTGTCACATGTAGGTGCGGCACCTGCGGGGGGCTCTCCTCCACTGGAAAGATTATTACCCCCCACTGGATTTTCACAAAATAGTTCACCTTCCCCTTTCTTTCTTTTCTCTGTCTCGGAACTGTTTCTATCGGACGTAGGCAACATCTGTGCCAGATCCTCGGCAATTCGATGATCATCATTTTTCCACTCGTCCTTTTTTATGCGTGTGGACATCCCCCAGTCATCCCCCAAATGGTTCACCCCCTTGTTACTAAGTTGGCTGGCACTTTGTCTTTCCCTTCTGCGAAAGCCTCCACAGCTGACGCGGACCGGGTGGCTATAAAACTCGTTGTCCATAAGAAGATAGCAAATAGCTTCATATTCATCACTGAGGATTTTCTCCTCGTCGGCATACTTATCACCTGGACGTTTTCTTCTTCTATTGCGATTGGACTTGTAGTCTACAGCGCCTGTTGAGCCTGCCCACACAGTGGCGGTAGCTCCTTTGCAATGAATGGGGGGCATTCTCCTTTTCGATTCCCCCTTTCCTGGGCGAAGTCTTTCCTTGCCATCCGCTGTCAAGCTCAGATGCTTCCTTTTCCTCTTCCTCTGGAGGTACTTGAATTTTTCCAGCCTCTGCATTTTGCGCAGCAACGCCGTTTTGTCCCCCCAGCTGGGGGGACTCCCCGTGTTATCGCTGTTTGCGGAGTTAGCGGCGCTATCGTTATCCTCTTCACTCGGGGGGGAAGAGGCCTCTTCCCCGGGGGCGACACCACAGTCCTTGTGCCCATGACTACGTAGCCGCTTCCCTCGGACATCACTCCCATGTCCACCCTTAAAAACCGTGAAGAGACTTAGCCTTACGGAGAAGTAACCTCTGACGTCTTTTATGTTTGCACTGTTCATCTTGCCTGTCTTCGTTGAGGAGTTAGAGGCTTCATATTTTCTCCTCACTTTCAAACCTATACAAATGTATGTACCTTTCGGTTACTTCTCACCTCTCCTTGGGGTTTCCCCGCAACTGGATTTTTTTTTTTCTCGATAAGGGCTTTCGGATAGGAAGAGGAAAAAAAAGGCCTCTTTCTCATTTTACAGAATGTCGGTAACGGGAGGCGGTAAGGGTTTCTTTCCCTCTTGGCTTTTCTCCTCCTGCGTTAATCTGCTCTATTATTGTTGGCTCCTTGATCCCCGAGGAGCTTCCCTGCCGGTGGGGGTAGTTGCACGGGCAGTTGTTATGGTTATGGCTTTGAACAAGAGCGAAGCAGATACAGGGGCAGGAACAGACCGTCCCATGAGGCCCCTTTTCTTAACGTTTTTGCCGCGAGGTGGGGCTTCCGGAAAGGGCTTTTTTTTTTTTCTTTTTTTATACGCTAGGCTATGGCGCAGGCACGGAATAAGTTCGAGCATTCGTGGGGGCGTTTTTCTTCTATGCTGTATGTCCCTCTTTTATGCACATCCATCGTTTCTACTTCTTTTTGCGCGTGCTTTTCCATCCGGTTGCTGTTTTTTTTTTTTGGTGGTGGTGGTGGTGGTAGAGTGGTTTTAGTGCGCCTCTGAACACAATGTGCAAGCGGTGCCGCTAAACATTTCTTTTGCAAAAAGAGGCGCATTTCCACTGGGCGTTTTTTTTTCCTTTTCTGCGACCCTATTCGTGCGAGGTGTTTTAAAAATGGATTTGCAGTTGTAGGGGAGCCGGAAAAATGACGAACTGACCAAGGGACCAAATGGGGAATGAGAAAAATCACCAAAGTGAGTCAGGCACGGATGGCGGGGGATAAAATAGAAGAACAATTCGTCCCCATCGCTGAGCATTCCTACCCGCATTAGAAGAAAAAAAAAAAGATAGCAAATAAAGTAACTGTGTCAAGATGGTAATCACGAAAGTATGCAGTCCGTGATTTGGACCGTAACGACGAGAGGGGGAAAATATTAAAAGGTACCCGGGGTGTTATCCGTGGGTATGTTTAGGATTCACGGTTTGTTCGTTCGACGGATAGGCCTATATCCAGGAAACCGCATCCTTGCGAAAGTCATCCCATTGGCATGAAAGGGTCATCTCTTCCTGTGTCTGCAGGCACAAGATACAAACGTTTCTTCATCATCACCACCATGTCTTCGTCTGGCACCGAGAGAATTGTGACTCCCTCAAACTCCTTGGCTGATTCACAATCGTCTGTTCTTCAAGTCCACCAGGGCCGCAATTACGGTCATGAGAATTCCGCAGAAGGAGATTTGAATTGATGGGGACATGCACAGGTTTTCGAAAACGAGTTTGTAGTTCCGGTTCTGCCTGCGAGAGGAGGATTGTGCGTACGTGTATGTGTGCGTGCGTGTGTGGGGGGGAGAACCATGACAAGTGCGGCAGGGGGTAGCGCCGTGTGCAGAGGTGAGTGATAAAGGCTGTATAAAGGTATGGAAACCGGGTGGAAGTGTTGGTACTGCACTTACAACTTATAACTGGAGGTGTAGTAGCTTCCCCCGGGCTGCAAAAAGGAAAAACCATTCTGACAGGCCACCTTAAAAGGGTGATACCGATAACGACTCAGACACACCAAGTCATGCTTCTGCATGGTGAACTCTTTCTGGAGTTTCTGCGGGGTCCATTTTTTTTTCTTCTTATTTATTTCGCACTCTATGGATTCTTCCACCACCGTCTTAAAGTAATCCCGATGTGCTTCCGTTTCCTTTTTGCTTCCTTTCACGCAATCCGGGGGGTTTACTTGGGTTGTGAGAAGGACCATCCTTAGGCCTGCCCCGCGAGAGAGAGGGCAGAGACAACTTGCCCCTTCTAACCACCCACAAAGAGTTCTCGTGGGAGCGCTCACTATCTTTCGCAGTCACGTGTAGGGGGGAGTGCATCAAAATTGTAAGCAGTCGCCAAAACGGTTTATGCCTGGGAAAAATTGGCAACTTCTGTTACGCCTTTTCGACCACGGGAAACACCAAACGTGCTGGGAAATAAACAGGTTCACCTGCTGGCGAGGAGGTTAACAGCGCAAGGTGGGAGAAAAAAAAAAGAAAAAGAAAAGAAAACAAAAAAAAAGGAACTCTTCACCAAAGGAGCGTCAAGAAAAAAACCAGTGCAATGGGAAAAAAATAAATTATCCAACTCCGTTCCTTTCCAGCGGCGGAACTGCCGCAAAGTAAGCACAAGCAGCAGTACTTATGTACGTACGTGTGTAGTTACTCCCCTTGGTGCGCAGCGTTGACACGAGGAGAGAGATTTACCACCCGAGTGGGCATGATCCAGCGTGACGCTACTTCCACGGGGTGACGCTGCCTAACAGAGTCTGGCCTGGCATCCCCCCTGGAGATGAAAAAGGTGGGGAGGCACTTGGCCCAGTGCGGCCATTGGTCTCGGGGCTTCTCCAGGTACTCGGATAAGCAACCCATTAAGGAGAAGAAGAGGAGTCAATTCATTTTTGACACTGTGCGTGGTATCCCGCTGCGGAATATGCTTCGCAAATGGAACGGCATAACGATGGAACATGCTCGCAAAAGAGAGAAGGAGATCGACAAAATGATAAAAAAGACATTTGAAGAATTGCGTGTCAAGTATGAACAGGTAAGAGTAAAGTATCAGGACACACTATCCACGTGGAGAAAAGAAAGAACCAGAATTAGAAAGCAAGTTGCCCCATTGTTCCTAAAGGGGATGTTAATGAAAAACATAGGAATTGATGGACAACACATAAAAACTGTCCTGTACAAAGTTTCCCTTGGAGGAAGAGTCTTTTTTAAAAATCTGATGAACCTCTGTCGGGACGCCAACATATCGTATTATAGAAATATAATTCATTATCATTATAGGAGAGCACCTGTGACGTACACGTTGATGTCACTGCACCTTTTGGTTTTCCTCTTATGGATGAATGCGAAGCCTGGGGATACATACAACTATGTTGGGATGCCCCGAGGGTTTTACTATCCCAGTTCGAATGTCTATAGCCCCCCGGGTTTTAACAATGCGTCGTCTCGTCATTCTTCCCCCTTTGGGCTGTTCAACTTTTTAACGCTTGAATTTATGTATAACCACTTTTGCTGCGGATTGCAGCAGCTGAGGGAAAGGAAACTTTATACGCTCATAACCAACCTTATCAGCCACAACACTGTGCAGTCCCTTCTGCTGAATACCATTTCGCTCTTCTACATCGGGAGATCCTTCGAGATGATTATTACCTCCAAGAATTTCTTTCTGACTTATTTTATTAGTGGGATCATATCATCATATGTAGAGATTTGCTACCAGAAGCGTGGGGGTTCCTTTCCCTACGGCAACGTTTCCGTCTTGGGGGCCAGCGGCAGCATCAGCTCCATTCTCACGACGTACACGCTCATGTTCCCTAGCCACAACATTTATCTCTATGGGGTGTTGGCGATTCCCCTGGTAAGGGCAGGCCTAGCGAAGCGGTGCCGCGGCGCTTAATTAATCCCACTTCTCATTCGTTCATTCATTGAGCCACTCCGTTCTTTCTGCGTTACCTTTCTTTATCCATCGTTTCCTTTTTCTGTCGCTTCCTTGCCGCTTTCCCCCCCCGCAGGCCCTGTTCACCTCCCTCTACTGCGCGAACGAGGTCTACTGCGTGCTGACGGACAAGAAGGACAACACAGGTTCGGCATCGCATCTAAAAGCGCCCTTGCATTTTACATTGCATATGTCTTCGTTTATCCTCACGCCCCTTGTTCCCCCCCTCTCGACAGGCCACGTGGCACACCTCACGGGGATGTTCCTGGGAATCCTATACTACTACTTCTACGTCAAGGGAAGAGTGGTCATGTAGCGGCGTCCTGTTGTAGCGATGTGTAGCGCCTTGGGTAGATGAACACACATAGAACACAGTCGTTCGGTTTTCAGCCTCGCCGATGAACTGTCCCAAGTGTACATGTAACAACAGACCTTTTGCTGGCCTCGCCAGGCGCATACCCCCTCCATCCACACACGTATGCCAGTGACATGGGGAGTTTTCCCGCGTCTGATAGATCCCTGATGGTATCCCAAAAGGGAGGAGACACAGAGTATATGCTTTCGGAGGGGAAACTCCTCATTTGGGAATTTTTTTTCTAATAGAGGCGGGTTGTCCCCTTCCAAAAATTTCCCTCCACTCCGTCTTATTAATATAACGTTATGTGGTTTCTTATTTTTTCTGCACTTTCCTTTGCACTCTGTTTTTTAACTTTTTTTTTTTTTTTTTTTTTGTCTGACCCGCAATTGGCACTTGATAAACGGGGTGTAGCCTCATCAACGCGGTCCTAAAAGATCCATTTGCAACAAAATAGCGCAAAAAGAGGAGTTTTACTTCGGAGAAGCAGCTCCGTTGGAAGGGCAATGGAAGTGTACCTCTCCTTTTATTCTATTTTGTTGTATTTTTTTTTGTTATTTTATTTTTTTTTCCTTCCTTCTGCATAACGTGCAAAAAAAAGAGGTTGAAAAAAGAAAAAATAATTAACTCGTACGGTTCCCCACCAACAAAATATACCCCCTGACGATTTATTTTTTTCTGGTTTCCTCACTTCCCAATTTCTGCAATTTGCATAGGAGGGAACAAGAAGAGAAGTCACCGCAGGCTTCCGTTACAGGGAGCGGCCTACACGGCGGGGCACCCCCTCTGCTGCTTTCTTGTAGGGCGTGCTAACCAGTGAAGAAGCGAAGTGAAGAAGCGAATTGAAGAAGCGAAGTGAGGAAGCGAAACAATGCCCCGGAGGGCATCCATCCGAAGGTTGGAAAAAATGACCAGAGGGTGATCCCGCCGAAGCTTTAAGGGAACTTCGCAACGTCGCTAAAAATTCCCCGTGGCTTCTCCTGTCCACATGGCATCGTTCGGTCTGTCTCTTCCCACCATCCTCGATGCACTCACCAGCTGCAGATGAACGCGAAACGGTTTTTTAATATAGTCCAAGCAGAGGACCATGATGGGAATAGAAAAAAAAAGGTTAACGCGAGAAGGGGGGAAGAACAACGTAGGGGGGAAGTATCTGGATTGAAAAAAAATGAAGAAGCCTCAGAAGTGGCAAGCCAAGGGGGAGAGTCACTGGGGGACGATGTCAAGACGGTGGCGGAAGGACGCGACACGCATAGCGTCGGGGCAAACCAGGACGACATAAGCAAGCAATGTCCTGATGGTTTGGAAGCGAAAGGTGGAAGCATCCCCGACAGAGGGACACAAAATGAGAGCGCGTGGAAGTCGAAGGAAAATAACACCACCCAGGCTGTCTCTGACCAGTTAAGCAATGCATTAAATGTTCATAGCCGAATCGGGGAGGAAGTCAATCGTGATAAGGAGGCCATAGGATTAGGGGAAAACAACTCAAATGAGGCTGCGGCCCCGTTTGAGCCTCTGCAGGCAGTGGAAATGAATAGCCAACAAGTAAGCGAGGTGGAAGGAGGGCATCACTGTAGCCGAGAGGATAAGTCCAGCGTGACCCCACGTGACGTCTTGCAAGATGGAAGTAATAATCCTAACAGGAATGCTGATAGCCCTACCGTGGAAAGGGACACACGGAGTGAAGCGCCACAAGTAGGAGAAACAAAGAAGAACAGAGAAAAACAGATGAGAAGTAACTCAGGAGACACGACCAACAAAGAAGTGAACGGAGAGGCAGAGGAGAAGAGTGCACCGCAGAGTGACACCAACCTGAGTAAAGGCGACGGTAAGCACCAGTACAATAAGAAACCACACGATTGTGTTGAGAGGGCGCAGAAAGGGAAGAGCCAGGGAACGGCAAATAAATTCAATCCGCAAGGGGCGTACAACAATGTCAGTAGTGGTGGAAGCTATCCACGGAGTTGGATCAACTCGAATGGCTACTACAACCTGTACGGCTCTGGTTACCCCGGTGGGGCAGGCATGCTCCCCGTGGGAAACGTTCCTCCCGCCACAACAGTCTCATCCACGGGGCCCCCAGGAACGATGAACATGGTCGACATGGAGAACGCGACGTATGCGACCTACACAAACCATATAAACTACAATTATATCTATAACTACCACTACACTCACAACTACCACTACTATTACTATGGCATATACGAGGACTACGGCCGTGGGATGGAAACAGACATGGGGGAAGAGCCCTATGGGTTCTGCTCCCTTCTGGACAAAAGCATCCAGCTAATGAAGAAGAACGACAAGGTAAAAGAAATCCTGAAACGCCCAGCCAAATTGCAAGTGACCCAAGAGGAGCTGAACAAAGTGGAATACTCAGAGGGGAATGACCAGTACAACATCTGGTTCGGAAGGTACATGCCGGACAAGTTCGACAAAGGAAGCAGTGGTACCAGTAGCACTGCTCCACAACGCTTTGTGGCAAGGTTCAAATGCAAACCATCCACCGACTCAGGATACACAAAGGCAGATAAAAATTTGACCAGCAGGCAATTTTTTTGCATCTACTTTGCACGCGGTTGTTGTGCTTACGGGCATAACTGCCTCTACAGACACCGAATTCCAAACGAAAATGATGAGTTACAGTTTGAACAGACGATTGATATTTTCGGACGAGAAAAATTCAGTACCTTCAAAGAAGACATGAGTGGGGTGGGTAATTTTAACAGTGAGTGTAGAACCCTCTTCATTGGAAGCATTCACATTGATAACTTCGAGCAAGTCCACTTAATTGAGCAGATCTTATATGATGAGTTTAGCAACTTTGGACGCATTGACTATGTAAGGTATGTCCCTTTTAAAAATATTGCCTTCGTTCAATATTCATACAGAGTCAATGCGGAGTTTGCCAAAGTGGCCATGTCGGATCAGCCCATTGAAAATCACTCCACAGCATTGACCATCAAGTGGGCTTTCGAGCTGAAGAACACTCCGCATCATTCCTTTCAGCATTACGCTAATCCGTATGTGTATAATCAGAGCCCCTTGGTTTCTTCCACGTGGCAACAGTACGTCTCGCAGGAGAGGCAGCGGGATCGTCAGCAGGATCGTCAGCAGGATCGTCAGCAGGATCGTCAGCAGGATCGCCAGCAGTTCAGCCCGTCGCCCCAATTTGGTATTCCGCTTCAATTTGGTGTTCCTCATCAGTTTGGTTCGCCTCCATAGTTTTTTCCACCACACCCACCCAGTCCCAGTTTCCAACCACAGCATAGAGACCCTTGGCGACGGCGATAATCGCGCCCTTTCCTAGCACAGCAAAAAAAAAAATCAAGAACAGGGGCAAAAAAGTTTGAATGACAGCCTGAATCAAATGGACCACATGTTTGACATGCAACATATTGGCGATTTGGGTGAAATCAGGTGGGGAGGGGACACTTCTTCCTCTTCTGGCCGGACACGCTCCTGGGGACGTACATACATACCTACATTCACGCATTCGTGCGTGCAGTTATTCTTTTATGCCTTTAAGCATTATTCCTACTTTGCATTAATACAAGCGTCTATATTATAGTACAAATAAGATACCTACAGAACTGCAAACACTACAGCACCCGTTATGATAATACTTCCAGCATTGCAGGTAAGTGTATTGTTCTTTTCTTCCACCTGAATGGGCAGGTCTAAGTACTATCCAATTAAGCTTTCCATTACAGTGGGAATATCCTTTACTTCATGCTGCATCTTTTCTACATTCTTTGTTCGCTCTAACTCGTTCATACACATGTGGCGAGGTCACCTGATGTTGCCAGTGGACATTCTGCTGCTTGTTCCTCAGTTATCGCCCTATTTCATTTGAAATGAACCTTTTGGAGTTCCTGCTGCAATGATGGGTGCTCGCGTAGGACACGCTGTCATAACAGCTGCTTATATAACGCATGTCCTCCCGACATGTGCTTTTGTAACGGATGGTTTCGTTGTCCTAGCGGGTTGTGTATCAACAAATGCTACCATATCAGTTGCCGCAGACCCTTCGGAAACTTTTCTCCTACTATGGAATTCAGCCGGTCTTACTACCTGTTGCTGCTTATTCGTTACAGATTTCTCCCGTCCAGAAGTACCAACGAATGAACCCCTAAAAATGAGACGTGACCTCAGAAGAGGCAGACTCCTTCTTTGCCGCTGGGTTATTCTTGCCCCCAGAATTCTTCACGGATACGTCAAGTCGTGCCCGTTCTGCCGAACACTCAGATCCTGGACCTTCTGTAGATACGCTATGTGGAGCTAAGGGTTCATGACCCTTAGGTATTCCTACAGATGTCGATACTATTATTGGCCATCCGGAAAGAGTGCCCTCAGCTGTGGAGACATGTCATTCACTCTTAATCCTGCATTACTATCCGATGTTTATCCTTCATATTTCTTCTTCTACTCTTCTACTCTTCTAGAACAGGACTTTGATCATGTTTCTTCTCTTCCTCTTTAAAATATTCATCAAGAATATTAGCACTGATATGCAAGAATTCAATGCAATCCACTGTCTAGTCACCATTTGAGCTCTCACCATAAGTAACATATTTACTATGTAGCTCCTATTTATCCCTTGAATGGATATTAGTCAGAATAATGTAAAGGTTCTTTAAAATAGTCATCCAAGAATTTTTTCTCTAATTCTTCGTTCAAAATTAAGGCATATATCCTGTGGTAACTCTTCTATTACATAGAAATATGCTAATGAACAAGGATACTCTACTTTAATTTTTTCCTTAGATCCGTATCTTGCCTAATGGTATATTCACATGCACATCCAAACTGATATTTTCCATATCTGTTATATTTTCTTAATGGATACATTGTTTGGAAAAATTCTTTTTCGTTTTTTTGATTCCTAAGTAGACACATTTTGAATATGCTCCCCTTTTTTTCCTCGTTCTTATATGTTCGTCCAATAACAATGCATAGTGTAGTAGACGGTGGAACAGGAAATGCTAATTATTTATCACAAGAACTTGCCAGATTCCCCAAAAAAATGACAGCTTCCTCTTATATATATGTATATATATTATTTAATTCGACGCTCTCTTATTTTTTCTATTCCTTTCCTTTTTTATTTTTTTCCTTCGTAATTTCCAATAAACAGAAGCCTCTTAATATTCCTGTTTTCAATTCCATTTCAAAGGTGGATATTCTTTCATACATGGGTCATTCTGTTTGGTTTCCTTAGGGTTTTCAGCTTGTTGGCACGTTTAAAAAGAACAAATCGTGTGTTGACTACGTCCCGGTAAACCAAAATAACGGAACTCTGCAACATAACTGTTCTCCCTCCCAGTTTCACATTTCTCCACTTCAGATGTTGCATGGGCCTCGTGTGTAAACATAATTTTCGCGTGAAACACTTTTGATCCATTTCTACGCCACAGAGGATGAGTGATTCAAGAATCTTATTCTCATCATTCATTCCTAAAAAATTAGATAAAAATGGTGAAGTAATTGCATCCCCCAAAGATGTACCTTTCTCTTCAGACTACAGTCTTCTCCTCTTATCCAAACGTGCAGTCTACTTGCAACACAAAGTAAACTTCTTAATTTTGTAGCAAGCATTAAAGAAAATTCCGTAAGTATGGACAAACATTACAACCACGCTCTGGCCTAGGTTCCTGCCGCAGCAAATAAGTCCCGCGCAAGGTCGAATATTCTTCTATTTTTTAAGATTTTCATGACACCTTTGCGACACCTGCATCCAATGGCCACTTCATGCCGCTACAACTCGTTAACTCCTTACTTTGCCGCTGATGACAATGGTTCCATGAGGAAAACAATTATCTACCTCAAGTATTAATAGATTAATCCGTTCCCCTATCCAGCTAAGTGCGCCAATGTCACAGGGAATGATTGCTCCTTCGTGACTCCTTACTCAAATGGGGGATTTCAAAATGAAGGTGAAACACAGTAGATGGAACCCCTCAACATATACACTTCGTCACAGCTCTTGGTAAGGAAGACGCTCGTGAGGAAGCAGCATAACAAAAGATGCTTAGTTGTAGACACAAAAATTATCTGTCAACTCTCTATGGTGCTCTAGGACACCTCGGACACTACGAATTTCGGGCATATTCAACACCACGATTGCCGAGGTGCAGTTTACTAAGGAAGAGGGCGGACACCGAATCATAATTAATACTTAGAACACATAATTCAGGACACGCATTGTGTGTCTCTATCGAGCATTTCCCGTACATAATTGAAATTTCCCTGAGTTGCATCACTTAACCCTGCCCACAAAACACCCTCAGTAACATCCCCTGATTGGTGAAAATATAGAAAGAGGGAAATCTGCACATGTAGCACCACACCCAACCGTAAATTCTTCTGACGTCTTGGGCTTCATCTCCGAAAGGTGAACTGCCAAGGATAAAGAAAAAATGAGCCCCACAGTATAAATGTCACCTCTGTGTTATTGCTACTTGTCACCCTCCCTCTTCAGGGGGACTTGTCCTCTTTTGACATTTCGCATGTCAAAGTAAAAGTTGAAGTGCCAGCAGCGTAACCCTCAGCGAACATTTTCAAAAAACAAATGTGGTAATTGGAATGTTATCCTTGGAATCCATATAGGGAATACCCCAAAATCAGCAAGAAGAAAAAAATACCACATAATAAAATGATGAACAGTACTCAACTAAGAAAACAAAAAAAAGAAACCCGTCACACAGAATGTCACTCACGGGAATGAACACACATCCACATTCTTATAGATTCTCCCGTGTTAATAACAGGCGGATGTATATTTTCTTAAAAAAGAAGGATGTGCATTATCTGTTTCACAGAAAGCCACCTCCTATGCTAATCATCCCAGAGGCATTGCTAATGTCAGATGGCTTGCTCACCTCAGCTGCGTTACTCCTCTTCGATTCGCTGTCCAGTTGTGACGATGGACTCATAATCCAACCCACGATCATTTCCGAAACCTTCTCATTCCTCGACTCCCAAATGACGGGATGTTCCACATCCTCCAGTGTATACATTCCTTTGTTGTTTACATCGAATCAGTTGTAAAACGATAGAGATCCGCCATAGCAGCACAAAATGTCCTTCTTAGAATGAATAATCAACACAGGAATATTTTAGGGGATGTGTTTTATATCATTGTGTAAGTTTTCCATTTCTCTGAGAAGCTGTTAACTACACCTACACGTGATTTCCTACTGAAACCGAATTTAATCATAAAAGCAAGAGAATTGAATATATCTATACATTTTGAACGGATACGTGTAAATAAATCTCACCCTTGAAAACAAATTAGCAATGGACTACGACAGTGAGAGACGAAGGCACTAAAATAGAAAGAAATTTCTGGATGGTAATTTCTCAAAAATTATCATGGGAGATATATCCAGATACACCCGCTGATGTTTAGTCCTATATTTTTTATTTGCCACTTCCCCAATATTTGTAGCATCCTCAGAGCCATACCTCCCCGCAGAGATAAACGGGATACGTAAGTGGGAATAAACATCGTCCTGCATATTCTCTCATCCCGCAATGGAAAACTCAGATCCCTCCTCATCATAAACATTACAAACATTTAAGCTATCCTGAAGGTTCTCAATATACTGCATTACATCATAGGTGAAATCATCAAACTCTTTTACATTATTTCTCAGCTTCTCTGAGCCACACCATACACAGTAACCTCCTAAATATAATCCACAGAAATAATACCCAGGTTTACTAAAATATTGTGTGCAGCTACCTTCATAAACATAGCCATTATTTTCATCATTCACTATAACGTCATCGTCGATTACTACCTCTACATGCTGTCTTAAGAAGTTTAGTCTCGCATGGCATTGAATTCCATGAAGTAGTATTATAACGCCTGTGGTGTCTTTTGCTAACCATCCGTGGCTTCTTAATAGTAATCCATCTTTATTAAAAAATGAATGATTCTTCAGGTGCTCCCTCAACCCCAATTCCTGTCAAGCATATTTCTTCATTGGAGGATTCCTTTTCGACTATTATACGGGGTAAAAAAGAAGCAAATGACACCACGCAATTTTAAGAGACGGGAAAGAATCGTAGGAAGCAACAAATAGGGCTTACTACAGTGTCTAGAGTCAATGTAGCGAAGCTTCAGTTACATGTCCTCCTCCGCGAAATTGTCTTGAAGACAGAATGTCAGAATGAACCATATAACGCGTGTACGAAAGAATAGAATTATAGGCACAGATGGGCACATTAAAGAAAAAAAAAAAACAAAGAAATTGGTGCACCATAACATGAAGAAGCAAACTACGTAATTAGTAAGAATGTACAAGAAATAAAACAAATGCGACTTAGTATAACGCCAAGTTAGCTCTCCCCAGAAGGGGTGTACACATATACTTAAAAGGATAATGATACTTAAAGAAAGGGGTCCTTTTTTCTGGGATAAGGAATACAACTGGAATTACGGTACTACCGAATTCTATTTCTAATAATCTCCCAATTGGTGTTGCCTGATCAAGGGTAACAATGGAGAACCCTTTTTTATTATGTCAGGCTTCCTGCAATTTCATCAAGCGCCGTAAAACGCGGTTCAATGCACAACATGGGGCAGAATTAACCGCTATTGTTTGCGTCCCAATCAGCATGTGTAAAATGCCCACAAAGAGGAGTCACTCCAAATCAGCGCGATGGCTAGTCAGCTAGCTATTTTCGCCACTTTAAAAAAAAAAAAAAAAAAAATGAACGAAAAGAACAAAAGGAACAAAAATAACAAAAAAAAAAAAGATGGCGCTGTAATGGGCTAGCGGTCGCCCCCCTCTGAGGCCTCAAAAATATTCAGCGAATTAAGAAAGCACTCTGTAGGGGTTTGGGAGTTCCCCCCGCGGCGCGCGCGCTCTCCGTTCTGCATGTATATGTCCCTCAACTTGGGCAGGAGGCTTAACACGTTCATCTTCTCCTGCCCCATGTCTTCCTTTGTGTCACTCTCAAGCTTCTGCCCCTCGCGGACGTTTTCGTTCATGTGGTGGAAGAACTCCAAATCATCACTGGAGGGAGGAGACGATTCGGATGACGAAGACAATGACGACTTGGAGGAAGAGCTATGGGAGGAAGAGAACTCCTCGTAATAATCCGCTTTTTCATTGTAAAGTCCCGTTTTTTTTTCTTTCCGATTTAGCGACAGTGGAATAATCGGCATATGATCATGTACATATTTTTTCCTTAATGCCATAATTTCTTTGTACTTCTCAATATCGATATTTTCATTTAAAAATAAAACATTCACATTTTCATTCGATGAAGAGTTGTTCCCAATGTTGAGATAGTTCAAGTTGGCCATATTGTGAAGACTGTCCAAAGGGTTGGTACCATCGAAGTTCTCCATCGAGTCGTACTTTTCCCTCTGTTTCATACACAGCTGTTTGTAGTATAAGTACGAGTCTTGCAAAACGTTGATATAATTATAATTTTTGCTCCTAGCGGTATCGTCCTGTTCTTCAGCTTCAAATGAGGAACCTTCAAAGAGGTCATTAAGATTGCTCAACGTGTAAATTTCCTCGTACAAATTACTTAAGGCCAATTTGGTGCAATGCTTTATGTCGATGTAATTCACAACAACACTTCCTCTGAGGGAAGAGAACCTCCTGCAATTCATTCCAATCGTTTTAACCATTTTTACAAAAAAATGAAACAGCAAATCGAGCAGTACACAGTCTACCCTTTTTATATTCTTAGATAGCAGTATGGAACATAATATTCTCAATGTTTTCTCATTGTAGTAATCTTCTTTCGAGTTCGTGAATGGGTTTGCATGGTACTTTTCTATGTGCGTTTTGTCGGGGAGTGTTCCCCTTATCTGTCCAGCGCCGCTATCTTTCTTCATTCGGGTTGGCTCAACAGGGGAAGAGTAATGATCACAATGGTGTTCCTTTGTCACCACCGCGTGGAGGTGTGGGGGGAGTAAAGAACTCCTTCCATTCAGCTTCCTTCTGCTCCGGCTGGAGGCACAAAACAACTGCTAAACTATTGCTCAGCTACGGCGCAGTGTACGGCTTACCCACTTGTGTGCTAACGTAGAGCTTCCCCCATCTGACAAAATAAATTCGCGTACAGCCGATGCAACCCCATTCGGCTAGGCTAAACACCATTGCCCCACAGCCTCAGGGGGGTGGCGACAGAGTGGGGAAAACACGAAAAAGGGAAGCGAAACCGATGCGCAGAGAGAGGGACGTCACTTAAAAACGCACCGTCAGCTCCATTGATAGGGGCAGCATACTTCTGTTCAGTTGCGCCGGAGCGCAAATTGGGGTGGTACAAACGTGGTGCTAAATTGCCCTGCCCTGTTTCTCTTAATTGGGGTTCCTTTCGAAAGCTCCTCCGTAGTGTCAAGTGCTACATTATGATGTAATGGTTTTCTTTTCCTTTCTCTTTCGCATTGTTCTAGATGGCATGTAAAATTACTTGGCTCTGTCCCCTTCCCTGGAAAGGGCATATCCCCATTGAGGACAAATTGTTGACGGAAATCGGTGGGGAGTTCTGCTGCGCCCTCTGTTATGGACCAGCTTCCGCGCAGTCGCGGTGGCTAAGTTTGGCTTGCGCTTCGCCGCTTCATCATCCGGTCATTTTGCTTCCTAATTTTGATGCTTGCTTGTTTTTTTATTTTTTTTTCCCTCAGGCGGTACTCCATTAACCGGATTTTGTTACTCCAGCTGGGGGGAATGCACCCCGTGTTCATATCCCCAGGCGAAAAAATCCGAGACCGACTTTTGCGGGCATCATAAAAGGAGGGGATGTGCCGTTCCCCAAGGCATATTGGCCCACGCACTTCTGCGTCAGCGCCGTGCCATTCTCTCCCCTGGGCATATGTAGAACGCAACTGAAGTGTTATTTTGTTTAGCTTCATTTTGCTTCATTTTATTTTGCCTCCTTAGGTTTTACTTTATTTTTGCCATCCCAAAAATGAGTTTACCATCCGGCGCGGAGTTTTAACTAAGATCGATCATCCTTCCCGGAGTGCGCGTCGATTTTTTCTCCATTTTACGCCGTGATCGAAATGTTTCCGTTCTTATTTTAAGGCAGTTATCGGTTGGGCGGCAGCTTCTTCTTCTCTTCCGCCTTCCTATGAGTGTACTTATTCTGCCGACTGTGGATTCCCTTTCCGCAGTTAGCATTTGGCAAGTGGTTAAAATGGACTGACCATTTGCCTGATCGTCTGGCACCACGGAGAAAAAGAAGAAGAAAAGGAAGAAGAGAAGAAAGAAGAAGAAGTTAATGGATCCCCTTCCTTGATTCCTACGCTTTGGTCCAACCGAATTGCCAAGCAGTCAGTGCGACTGCAGGCATGAGGACATATGTGTGAACTGACACTCCGACTTGAAGCACGTTGTCCATACGGAGATGCATCCCCTTTTAAATACCCATGTCATGCTCGCCCCGTCCAGGAGTTTTTTTCTGTGTCAGCATTTCTGCAGGACGCAACAAAACTTCCATGTGTTGTGTGAAGTTTATTTGCGCAGGTCCAAGGTTGTCATTTCAGGATGACTTGCAAGAATAATTCTCGAGCATAGGCCAAGTGATTGTAGATAAAAGGAGAGACGCTTTAGAGTTTTCCTGTTTTTTTCTTTTTCCCACCCATTTGAACCGTTCGAGAGAGGGGGGAAGACGGGTCAACCGGCAGGCCCACGAGTATACGCCGACGTCTAATGTCCTGCAGCCGGTGTGTATTTAATCCAGATGGAAATGGAAGGCCGGGAAATGTCGCTGGACGGAGACTTCCATTTGGGGTGCTCCTCCCAGAGGAGCTTCAAGGAAAATAGCAGCTTCAACATGGCAGAAGGATGCTCTGTGAGGAAAGGGATCAGTGCAACTTATTTAGGTCATCACGAGGAAAAAGAAATTGCAGAGAATTCCCCTCGTGAAGGGTTTCACATACAGGGAGGTCCATTCAGAAGGAATGTTTCCAATGAAGAGTATAATCAGATGGATGCAAATATGACTAAGCATAGAAATGAACAAATGGTCCATGCCAACTTGGAAGGGGGCAACTGCCCACGATGTGTAAACCTCTACAGTGGATCCGAACAAGGAGAGTTACTAAAGGGCTTTCAGAAGGAACTAGATAGGGAGAAAAACATCAGAAGGAGTAACCCAACATGTGAACAAGCCCAATGGAATGGCACCAATCCGAAGAGAGACACACAACGTAGTCGTAGCGGTCTACTTGCACATGAGGAAAATTGCCCCTATTCTAAAACCTTGGAAATTTTCCATCACCTAGGGGAGGAGGGAGCTAACCAGGGAGATGGTCACAGTAGTACCAGTTGGAATGGCACGGATTATACCAACTTTGAGAACTCCGATGCGGAGGTTGACAGCTGTGGGAATGATGAGGAGGACGCTTCCCAAGGGGTAAACTTCGGAACAACACTGGAAAACATTTCGCCCAGCAACAATCCAGCAGTTCATACGGTGGACTCCAGTTTGGAACATTATGGATGGAGAAAAGGAAAAAAAAAAAAAAAGCGTAGCTACCAAGAGGCTACTGACAGAGAGTCAGATCAAGTCTTGTACAACATGGCCAACCAGAAATTGACTGGCACTTCCGTCATGTTGACTGGGGAGAAGTCCAAATACATTTATAAACTGGTTCCCTTTTTTAAAAACGGGGAGGCCAAATTCTACATGAATGCCTTTGCGGCGTATGAACAACTGCACGGGCAGTTCAGGAGGGCCCTCCGGGGGGTGAGCTATGGTGACGAACGTAACCGGCCTGACCGCCTCGAGGAGCTACACACCAACATGCAGAGCGCCATGGCCTACTTCTACCTCATGAACGAGAAGACCATGAGTGCAACTCGGAAGAAGCCACCCCGAAGCAGCCCATGCAAGGGAACCCTTGAAGGGGACCAAGGGGACGATGTGAAAGAACATCCTCCCAACTGGGCAGCGGGAAGCACAAGTATCCCCACCGCAAGTATCCCCATCACAAGTGCAAATACAGACGGGACTCATTTTAAGAGAGATTGCGTAGAAGACTGCCCCGAAGTGGAACGACCCCCCTGTGATAATCCCCAGCTGGAAAAATCAAACTCAACGTTGAAGTCGCCACGTCTAGGGGTGGGCTTCACTCCAGAAGAGGAGGACAACACCAATGGAGGAATACGAAGTAGTATCCACTATGCTATGCACACCCCGGAGGAAAAAAAGTTAGTGAAGCTTCTGGGTGAACATACATATCCAGTAGAGGAGGGACAGAAACAATTCCCCCCCAGTGCAGACTTGCCTGCATGGGTAGGAAGCGATATCATGTCTTGTCACCGCCTGCAAGGGAGAAGCGGCCATTACAAGAGAAACAGGAACACGAGTGCACTGGGCCGACATCGCGTCTTGGCCTTTTTGGTCAAACAGAAGCTCATTCCAAAGTGTTACAACATAGTACCTGTGTATCCATGCGAGGGGGAAGACGCGGCATCGTATTTGGCGGAGACCAACAAAATGAGTGATGAGAGCCAAAGTGCAGGCTCCACTGCGGAAAACGTACCTGAGGCAAGGAAAACCGAGCCGCATGTAGAAGAGCCACTCCTTAATGGTAGACGTCACGACGTAGCTGTGAGAAGTGATATGCCTGGTAAAGAAGCTGAGAAGTGGAGGGTCGGGAAGTTGAGCGACCTCGTGAATCTGAACGACCTTGTGAAGGCAGCCGAAGGGATTCGAAGGGAAAACCCCCCCGAACGCACAATCCACTTAGCGCTGAAACTGAAAAAAATGTGCCACACGATAGATCCCCGAAACCAGAACGTGCTTGACCTAAAGCTAGGTTACAACACATTGAAGGATAATGACACACAGTTTAGTGAAAGACTGAAGGAAGAGAGCGACTCGATCGAGTGGAGCGAAAAGGAAAAATACGTGAAGAGGTGGTCGAGGATGAAAAAAGACATACGAAGTCGACACTTAAATACAAGTGACGAACACATCATAGATCTCTCTGCGAGGGACATGAACCTACCCCCCGCATTTTTCAACTACGACAATCATGAAATTTATTGCCTCTTAAAATCGTGGAAGCAAGAAATTACTGCACGCATGACGACGCAGAGGAGGTTAGGATTTCGTATATGCGCGCTGGTATGCGGGGTGGAGCAGCAGGACGTGTTGACGGACGAAAGGGTGCGTGACTTCTACGCGGACTGTGTGGAGAAGTATGGACCGGTGGTCGATGGTTCCAGTTTCTCTGGAAACTGCGAAAACTGCGGCAGCCAGGATTATCAGCACAGCGGTCTCTGCCATTCCCTGCAACATACCCACCTCTCCCAGCACAACCATCCGCAGCGCGACGGGGATGCACCCCCCCCCAGCATCAACCACTGCTACGACAGCGTTCACAAGAAGCTGCAAATCAGCAGAGACGTCGGACTCCACCTAAGAGAAGAGCACGTTGTGTACGCCCTGACCTATTTTTTCAAAAGCATCGTTTCGATTGTTCTCCCCAAATTGATCAGCTTGAAAGTCTGGCTGGAAGAGCAACAGGTTTATTCCTTCTGCTCGACCTCGCTGTTAATTATATATGACCGAAGAAACCCGCAGACGTGTGATATCAAGTGGATTGATTTTACTTACTCCTTTGACAACACGGTGTCTCCAAGGAGATATGAACAGATGAAACATGAGAGGCACAACTTGGACATCCTTTTTGGGCTAAATAATTTAATTAAATTGTGCAGAACGGTCTTTTCTGATAGCGAAATACCGCCATCTCTTTCATGTCCGTCGAGCAGTGAGAAGAAGCGATCCCATCCTGGGATACACGACCAGTCGTGAGTTAATCCGTAGCTTCACTCACCATTTTTTTTTTTTTTTTTCCTCCACGGTTCAGCAGCGTGAGGTTCCATGTCTGTGTGAAGCGTTGTTAATAGTGGCACCATTTCGTTGCGTTTCAAGTTGCCACGTTTTTTTTTTTTCGTGTGTACTTCCGAGGGGGGCGAACAGATTTGTGTGTGTCCCAGGCGCATTCATTTGTGAGAGACTCCGGTTTTATACCAAGTTGTTTATTATTGTAGTCCTGGCCTGGGCGTCCTTTCTCCACCCCCCTCCACGGAGTGAACAAGCGTTGACCTCCTTATTGTGTCATCCTTATGTCACTATTTTTTTTTTGCTCAGTTGTGCCACTTTGGCGCTTTTCCATTCTCATGACGTTCGATGGCCCAGCTATACATGCAAAGGAACAGTGAAAAAAAACAGTGCCCGATGGTGCGTAGCCGAGGTGTTCTCATCCAAAATGAGATTGACCATCAGTTTTATTTTGCACTTTTCATTCTGTATTTTTAAATTTTTGTTTTATTTTATTTATTCTTTTCTTTTTTTAGCGCCCGCCCACCGCGCCAGTCGGAAGGTCCTGCGGAGCAAAACGTGGAAAACGAAAAAGAAGAGCACGTCGCTGTACGGACTCTTGATGCCCCTTTTGCGCTTTACCACTCGAACGAATCTTAAAAAAAACAAACCCAATTCGAAGGGTGTTACGCACAAGTTGTAGTAATCGAGGACGTTCATGTAGTTCTTCCGGGAGTGAGCGAACCGCTTCCTCAATAGATGCAGTGCCACTCCAACTTGACTCTTTCGTTTTATGCGCACATGTGCGTGTCCCCCCTCATGCGGCATCACCTGGGGGCACTCCTCCACATCCGGATGGATTCCCTTTGGGCCTTTCTTTTCATCTTTTTTCCCTCCTCTTTTGTTTCTTTTCTTTTCCTTTTCAAGTTGCACACTGGGGGAAGAATCGTCTGCGACTTGTTCAAAATTTTCCACTTCAAGTTGTTTCACCTGTTCGCTCATTTCGTTCAGCAGTTTGTTCTTATACCCCTTGGTGTGCACAGGGCAGGGTGATTCTTCCTTTGTCTCGCCATTTCCCCCACTGGGGAGAAGTTCCTTTGAATAACTTTCCCGCTTTGCGCATGTGGCAAACTTGTTCAGAATTTTTTTTTTCTCCTCGTTTAATAAGACAATGTAGCGTACCGCATTATTTTGCAAGCGGTGTTTGTCAATTTTTTCCCTTTTGTTTCGCCGGGAGAGACACAATTGCAAGTTAGACTCATTTGTTAAATGCAAGTTTGGCGTGTTTAACGTTTTCGAAAAGATTGCTAACACTTGGACGAAGGATAAGCAGTACATACGCGAGAATTTTTTTAACACTTTCTTCTTCCTCCCATCATGTTTGCCTGAATGGTTCAGGTGAAATTTCTTTTCTTTCTTTTTTTTTTTTTTTTCCTTGCGCATACGTTGTAAATGGCTAGCTGTGTGTGCAATGTAGCTATTCCTCTTTTCGGTTGGCTTTCTATGTCCCTCCTCACTAGAGTCGTTATTATTCGTCTGCCGCTTCGGGAGTGTTGTCCCTTCTTTTTCTTCCCTTTTATCTGCGCAATTCAGGATGTGGAGCGGTTTCCACTTTTTCGCCTTAATTTTTTTTCGCCCGCTGCCGACCGGGCGGTAGTCATCGTAGTGGTGGTGCGGCTCCAAGTTGATATTTTTTGCATCCCTCACCGTCGTATCATCCTTCCTTGTTAGCTTCAAGTTCAGTAAAAATTTTAGGACATCCCCCAGCCGCAGGGACACATTTAATTTTGCGCTGAGGAGTGAAAGACGCTTTTCCGTTGAGTTGAAAAGCAGGAAGTAAAAAATGAAGTAGTAGACGAAGTTGTCTAGGATGTTCACTAATACGGTAAGGGTTTCTTTGCCGCTCGGGGGGCAACCGTTTTTTTTTTCTCCTTCCGGTTTGATTGGCAGTGCGCCATGGTGCCAGAAGATGGCGCAGCTGGGCAAGGCGTTCCCCCTTTTCGCGGCTTTCTTCACGTTCTTCATTTTTTTCACTTTTTTTTCCTTTTTTTCGTGGAAATTTCCTCTCCTCTGGCGCGTTTCGCCCGGTTCACCGGGGCTAAATCCTTGGCGACGAGGGGGATGTCTGTATTTCTTGAGATACACGCCATTTTCGCGGTTCTCAGCGCTAGCCTTTCTCCCATTTTCGGCCCACTTCTCCACATCTCCCTTTTGTTCACACTTGTTGGAAGGCCGCTTCCACCCCACTTGGTTGCTTCGATTCCGCTTCGTTCTTCCCTTCCCCTTCTTTAAACCCCATCTGATGTTACCGCTCTGGGGGTGCGGTTTCTGGCCGTCGTTCCTGCGCATACACCCTTTCAGCGCATTAAGTAGGCTGACCATGACGCGCGTCTGGTGCTCGCCTCGAAGATCGCGCAGGTGCAACGACACGCGTACCAATGTATACACGAAAGAGTTAAAGGAGATTTTCCTCCTCTCATCGTGAATGTTATATCTGCCTAGGTTTAGCAGGGCGAGGTGTTTGTTCAAGTGGGGACTCCGACTGGAATGATCACACGAGTCACCACTTCGATGGCTGCCACTATTGCCATTCCGTTTTGCCCGTCCTGGGTGGGCAACGGCCCACGCCCCACTCATGCGCGATGATGCATACCACACGGGGAAGGCAGAGTGGAACACACTAAACAGGACGTAGAACAGATAGCCGTTGTTGTGTCTGCTTCTATTTGTAAAAAGAAAGAGCCATATCTTTTTTAACATGAGTTTTGCTCCCTTCATATTATAACACCACTGCTTCTTCCACTGGTTTTTGTAAAACTTTGCAAAGCATCTCACCAGAAAGAGATCTTTGTTGAAAAGGATGTGCGCCATGGGGTCGTGTGTTTCGTATGGCGGGATGCTGACGGGATGGACTGCCTCCCCTGGTGTATCATCAGTCTGAGAAGTTTTTCCATCGATGTGATTGCTACTTAGAGCCAATCTGGTACCCTCACCAAGACTGATTCCATTAACATTCTGGTTATGATTCCCCTGATTGGTTGCCTCATGGCTGTGTACCCCTGTTGGAGGTGCAAAGAGAAACGGCTCGGTTGATAAGTGACCGCATTGGAAGAAGCTCTTGACCATTTCTTCCTCATTCAGGAGTGTAGCCTCACCCACACAGTTCCAATTATCACAAAGGAGACTCACCAAATCGATGTGTTCACCCATGGACATGTCGTCTTTTACTAACCTGTTTAGCGAGCTAAGGGGGAAGCTGCTGTGGATAATGTTTGCATCGTAGAACATGTGCCAGAGGTTCTTCAGTTTGAAGCTCCCGAGGGGGTGGGAAGAAGAAGAAAAAGAAGAATAAGACGTAGAAGCCTCCTCCTTGCTAATCCTTCTGCTGTCCCTCCCCCCCTTTCGCCAGTACAGATCATACACCTTTATTAGGAGGTCAAAATGGTCATACACAATTTTGTAAAACTGCTTGACATCCCTGTTAGTTAAGCTGGAGTCTTCCTGGAGAAGAGGCCCCAGGTTGACGATGTTGCAAATGGAATTCGTATACAACTGATTCATTATGTATGTCTGGTTGAGGTCTATCTGATCTGTGAGTTCCCCATTGAGGTAGTTACATTTGCAAATTATGCCATTTATTTTGAGAAGATATCCTTGTCCATGTTTTCTGTTGTCTTTCCAAGAACCCCAATAGGTATCTCCACATCTGTGATGGAAAATTCCGAACCCATTTCTTTCCCCCCTTTGCCAATAGCCTTCATACTTATCGTAGCCTTCACTTTGGTAAGTGGTGCTCTTCCTATCTGCATGTCTCACGAACCAGAAGTACGTTCCGTACCCGTGCATTTCGTCATTTTGCCACTCCCCGACGTATGCGTTTTGTACGACGTTCTTGAGTGTCTTCATTTTTGGGGGGGAAGTCCTCCCGGAGGTGATGTCCCATTGTTCAGGGTTTTCCATTTTGTTTCCCCCTCCTTTGCTTCCCCTTCCTTTCTCAAACCACCACATTTTCCCAAACCCGCACTTTTGGTTCCTCGCCCAGAAGCCACAGTAAACGGCATTGGCGTAGCGTTGGATACCGTAGAAGTGCCTCTCGTTTTGTTTCCACCAGCCTTCGTACGTCTTCACACTGGGCTGATTCACATGTTGCCTTATTAACAGAACTCCGTAGCCGTTACGCTTGTTCCCTTTCCAGTCTCCCTTATAGATGACTAGCCCTGATTGAGCATCCACAAGGTTTGGGTGAGAATCCACTAAGCCTAATTTAGCATCACGAGCGGAAGGAGAAAAAAAGAAAGTGCCTTTTCCCTGACCCCACTTCTTACCATTTCGTATGTGCCCTTCGTACACAAACTGCTGCGAAATTATTTTTCCAACCCCATCCACATTTCTACTTTTAAAGTTCCCCTGGTATGTTTCGTTCCCCTTCTGGATGACCACATCTTTCCCCAGGTGGGCACAGTGGAAGGCGTCCAATGGGAGGTCTCCATCGATGGTGTAGTTATTAATGTGGATATTTTTCAATTGTATAGTACCGGGTTGTTTAATGTCCACAAAGGAGTCGCTTTGGACCTGTCCATTTGGGGGGTGGATGCCTCTCCTGAAGAAGTTTTTCCAGAAGACAGCTTCCAGGGGGGGGTGCATAGCTCCCTCCATCGTGTGTGTGGGGGGTTCACTATTGGGGAGCTTCTACTTCCTATACCTTTCGAATTCACGCGCAGTTTTTTTCCGGACCGGAAGGGGGGGTGCCCGCGACTGTGTAGTGCTTCCTCACTGGGGGGAAAATATCTTTAACTTCGACAGTAGGATGGTCCCTACGCGTGAGTTCCTACATGTGGCGTTGTCCCCATTTATCTTATCATACAAATGAGAACCCGGAGGAGACAATTCTGAGGGTCGCGTAATTAATAACGCGCGTATGCATACCAGTTCGTCGCGTTTTTTTTTCTTTTTTTTTTAAATGCACATTTAGGGTTTGTAGAAGAGCAAGGGGGTTACCCATTTGGCTTCCCTCCGATATGAATATGTCCTATGGAAAAAAAGTAAATCTCCTCGTATGACTATAAAATGCTTTTTCAAACATTCACGCGGTTTAGGCTAGTGTGTGTGCGGCGTTGGCTCCCCTTTCTCCTTTTGTGTGTGCTAAATTGCTCCTCGGATATGACACGGAAAAAAAAAAAAAAAATTACATGCCAGGTTGCTCCCCTGTGTGGCTAAAACATGTAGTAGTCCGTTTTACTACTCTCCTTGTATGTCCTTGCAGGGGGGGAGGGTAACTAATTCTGTCAGCATCATAAAAAGTTTGCCCCGATTTGTTCTCGCCCCTCCCAATTCTATGTGTGGAGAGCACCTGCCCCCGCAGCGCCTACATCTTCTCAATCATTATCCCATTGTGCGTGCCTCTTTAAATGTTTTCAAACTGAGTAGACTTTACACTTTCCTCTAAAGTTGCTCTCTCAGTTGTGGCTGCTTGGTTTAGCTTCCCTCCCTTCGTCTGGGAGTTTGTTTTTCTTTTTTTTTCCCCCTTTTGGAGATACATTCTGTGGACACATGAGGCAACCGTGGCGACTTGGCTCATTCGAATTCTCCCACGAGTGGTGTGCAGAAACGACTCCACCTCTCGAGATGTCGCACTTGGGATGTCCCCCCCAACGCTTACACGAAATGGTTGTCCCACCTCGTGTTGCGACTATTTGGCTTCCTCTTCCCCTTCTTC